CAGATATGTTCATGCTGTAGGTAAGAAACCTATCAGCAATTCTTGAAGGGCAATGGGGCGGACGAAACGAATGGTGGAGATGGGAATGGATACCGCTCACGCAGTTATCTTCCGCAGTAAGTTTAAGAAAAATCATGTATATGTAAATATGATTTAAAGGTTTCAAGCATGTATGTTTAAAAAGTATAGGTACATATGTATGTTAAAGAAACCGAGGTTGTAGCTAACAACCCTCGTTTTGAGTATTTAAGTTTTAGAACGTTGCAACAGAGCATGCAACAAATAAATAAATTTTAAACATGACGATTTAAATGATTGATTTTAAAAGGGCTTTAAGATGTACTTGAATTTAAGATTTCTCACGAAATCCGTTTTAAAGTCAAAATTAAATGGCCCGATTGAATTGGCTAGTTTTAGAAAGACTTTTTAAGAGCATTTGAAATAAGAGTTCAAATGCTGCTCTGTTTGAAAGATATTTTTAGAACGTTTTATCTTAACTGAAATTAAGAAAAGCTTTAAGAAATTTAGGGATTCACTTATTTGAAATTATTGTTACAAATTATGAAAGTATTCTTTCTTATATTAAAAAAAAAAAAATGTTCCGCAAATTTTAAGAAACCCCAGTAAGTACAAGTTAAAGTTTAAGTTACAGTGGCGGCCTCATAGGAGGGTCGTCACAGATTCCGGCGGAGTTGGAGGTCGTGCCGCATGTTGTTGAACTCAGCTCATCGAGATCTTTCTATTGACACCGGCGGTGTAAAAAACGGAGGTCAGAATCTCAACTTGAGTATTTGGCCATTGATGGTTTGTGTGAGAGAACGTGAGAGGAGAGAGAGAATGAGCGGGAATAAGAGAAAGAAAGTGCAAGAACCCTAAAAATTTCACTATATAAAGTATCTGATTAAGGCAAGATTACATGCCTGATCTTATCCTCAATTATTTCCTCTAAACAGATTAAATTTATACTTATTAGAGGTAATTAGTTTAGCTCACGTAAGTTAATCTACTACTTACAGTCCAGTATCAATTTCTGAATAATTAAATATTATTTTATATTCTTACTCGCGTAATATTTCAAACTGTTTCAAGTCTTGAAATTAATTTTAGACTTAACAAATTCTAAATTTTACTTTTCTGCATTCTATCCCGAGAATGACGTTTCTGACAGTGTCAACTCCCGAGCTCATATTGTATCCATCTACTATAGGTATTTATCTTGCGACTTTAACCTAACTGTCTGGCAATTAAGGATTTTTTTTTCTTCTTTTAAAATGTCAGTGCATTTTTTTTATACGCCGCTAACATCGTGCTGTGCTTGGAGATTCTTGAAATTAAGATTCTCAAACTATACTTGTACTGAAAATTATTCCGCCTTAAAATACGGCGAGAATTTATCGATCGAATTTACTTGATCGAAACATGAACTTAACATGAAATTTGCTATAGAATTTAGGAATACATATATTAATTCCATAAATCCTCCATTCACAATATAACATAATATTTTCTAAGAAAATTCTTAACTTAAAAATACATAAATTATATTATTTAAGGTCTAAAATTTTCTCAGTCATTATAAGTTAATTATTAAATTTTTATACACCCAAGCCTGCAATAACCGCTAAAGCTAGCTTAACAAAGAAAACTGAATAAGTCAATGACAATGATTGAAAAGTCATCTCACCTTCACAAGTGTTTTATAATCTGTAAAATCATTTGCAGATTTTATTACTTTTTATAGTTTATTGTGATTTGACTTTCTAATTAAAACTAACATCTTTAAATGCACACCGCCACTGGATATTCCACGCGGAAGAAAGCTTCAGGATTTAATAACACAAGAAGAGTTGAGGAAGAAATAGGGCATTAGCGTAGAGGTTTCATCGAAATAGGATAAAAATTTATGTTCACATAAATAAAGAGGACAACAGGCTAAGCATGAAACACAGCTCAACAAAAACGCTTATGATGGGAGCCACAATATGCTTTCCTCGTATTAGATCCAGGCAATCCAAAACAATTGTATTCAACAAAAAATTTAGCAAATTAATGCGAAAAACAATAGCATATAATTATGTAGCAAAAAGCATATAAATATTACAGGTGCAATTGATCTTCTTTTTTTTTTTTTTTTTTTTTTTTCAAGTATCTGACGTATTCTCACAGATAGCTAGAGGTCACTATTAGATAGTTCTTAATTATCGGACGCTGAATTTTGCAAGTGTAATTCTTCATCTGAATCTGACAAGGTTTCCTGATCATGATCATCTAAATTTGGTATGCCAAGTTCTCCTATATTGAAATTAACACAGTTTCCACATATATAATTGGAGGCCTTGACAAAAACCAAACAATGGGATCTCCGGTAAGGATTCACATCAACTCTGAAATTATAAGGTGAATGTTATGCAGACAAGATTGCAAGAATTGCTAAAAAGCTGAACGAAGGCAACAAGAAAAGCCAAAAGGCATTCAATTTCTGTGAAACTATATGAAAGTTGAATGGTGTCATAATTTTTTTTTTTTTTTAGTTTGAAAAAGAAAGGATGTCTATTCTCGAATTTAAAAAAAGAAAAAAAAAGGGTCATGGAGTTGGTTGACATGTTATTTTTTTTTTTAGTTTGAAAAAGAAAGGATGTCTACAATGTTGCATTAATTATTTGGTGTTAAAGCACAAATGAGATACTCACCGAAAGTCTTAATTGTTTCCGGTGTCCTCGTCTTTGCTGCCTACGCCGTACTCGTCATCTCCTCCAAGGTTAGTTCTGAAAATTTTCTTAAACCAAAAAATGTGTTGTGGAACACGATATCCGTTTGTCATTTGTTTAAACTTGAGATGAATGATTTTATTATTTTGCAGAGGTGGTAAGTCAAATGCAGATTAGAGGGGTTGATTTGAAGAAAAGAGAAGATACTAATGATGAGAAAGTTGTAGGAGCAGATGAATATTATAGGGAAAGCGAAAAGAATAGTAGTAGTGATTGGATAGGGCCAATTAGTTTGGGAATAAAGATAAACCATTGCTATCTTCACCGATCAGGCAGTACTAACTTTAAGCACTTTCATGGAGGACAAGGACATGGATTAGGCCGAGATTGTACGATGCCATTGTCACGCAGAGGCGGCCAAAACAATATGCCAAGAGAAACACGGTTAAATCTCTCATTAAAGAAGACAAAAGGCTGGCCCCTCGAAATTTTGAGTGGCCATCTCTTCTTCCCATTTGTACAGCCAAGTCAGGCAGCCACCACCGAGAACACTGTCAGCCATTGTAACTAGTAATGTTTAACAGTTTTAAAAAATTAATTAATTAATTAAAGTACGTATTAGATGTTCATATCAAGAAACATCCAAATCTCAACTCCTGGTTGTAAGTTTATAACCAATTCAATTGTCATGACTCATTTTGATTAGATGAAACAGGATTTGGTTTACATGTAATATCATTTCTTACCAAAAGCGTATATATAGCTAGAAAAATCCAATTACCAATAGATGTAATTCAAAATAGTCTGAAAGAGTCTATAGCCCTTGGGGTTTTGAAATGGTGCAAAAACCAACTAATCATGTGTCTCCAGCATAAGTAATTACTTAGTTAAAAAAAAAAAAAAATGTCAAAGCCAAATTATATTTGAAGTAGCATCTTATTGAATAGATACATAACAGCTATTGTAATAGTGTCTACATTTGCAATATTGCATTGATATTCATCAAAAATCTTAATTGTTTCGGGAGTCCTCGTCTTTGCTACCTATGTCGTACTTATCGTCTCCTCTGAGGTTCCTCCCCCAGGTTAGTTTGTCAAATTTTCATTTACGACATTTTTTAGTTTGGTATATAAAATAATTTTATTTAAACCATTTTGTTTTAGACCTCAGATTTTCATCAAACAATGTCTTGTTTACGTACTTTTTGAATCCATCATTTTGATATACTAAGACATGTATCGTAACAAATAAAATATTGTGACTTCTGTTTCTTTTCTGCGCAAACTTATATAAATATATATCTCTATATGTTTAAATGATATACTAATTAATTCAAACGAAGAGTTTTAATTTGAAACATTTGTTAGTTTGTTTAAACTGGGGAATGATTTGTTTTGCAGAAGAAAATCATATGCAAAGAAAGAGTAGATGATTTGAAGGAAAACAAGATTAATGAGAAAGGACAACATTCCAAAAGGGAAGACAGAAGTTGGATAGGAAGTATTCGTTTCGGTTTCAAGAAAAGTTACTGTATTGTTCCTCGAGGAAGCAGTCCTGTACGTTTTCCATTCAAGATCAAATACATTTCTGTTCATCGGTGCAAGGAGTTAAACATCGGAGAAGATTGCAATGAGAAAACCCTACAGATCAGAGAGCAACAAAGCAGCCATGTCGCCACGCAAAGGCAAAAACACAGAGAGCATAAGACACGATCGTTTCTTAACAATTGAACCAACTAATACTGTCTGTTCATCATTTTCTACTACCATCTTATTTCATTTGTTGCCTATTGCTCCTCAACTTTTGTTGTTTTAAAACATATCTTCTATGTCTAATCGCCTTCGCTGTTGTTTGATGTTTTAAGGGTATGAGGATCTATCTGCTGTACAATTTTGATTCATGAAATTTTACTTTATACTTTGTCCATCTGATCTATCAACTCCAACTCCAGCCCATTTTCCCTTCTTGTTGAGTTTTCCCCCAATTTAATTTCCTTTTATTACATAATTAAATCTCTAACATGGATATATTTATCAACTTTAAGAGCCATAGATTATTATTCCAAAAGAAAATATCATTCAGTACATTGTTTTTTCTTCCGGGTTGCTTGCAACCTGTTTTTTTTTTTTTGTTTGGATTTTCCTTTCACCTATTATTAGTGAGTCCTACAAGTTAAGGGTCCGTTTGGTTCACACGTTCAAGTCAGTGATTCTGATTTTATTGGTGCGGACTTTGTGAAAGAAGAAATTTTTGAATTCAAATTCTTTATGAGATACAAAGTACTGTAGCAGATTCAGAATCATGGATTCATTTATAGGAATCAAACGGGGCCTAAGAGTCTGCCGAGGCCAACTCAATCCCAAATCTTCGATGAAATTTTGTATATATTACGTAAAACACGAAGAGCTACAACTTTTCCATCAAAGCACTGCCGGCCATTTCGATGTACAAAGGACTCGAATGCAAAAAAGATATATATAGTACTGAAATATCGCCCAAAATAACAATACCAATTCCTAAACATTGGTAAAACTGATCAGTCGCAATATTATTGCAAAAGGAATACCACTCAAGCTTTCATATTTGGCATGTAGTATTGTCCACCATCCTCAACATCTGACGCTGTTCAAACTTCAAAAGCACAATGCAATTCACCAAATCAAATTTAATAACCATGCATCATTGATCATCAACTATTTTTATGCTAAGTTATGCGTTACTTGGGATTGAGCCTAAAACATACCAAAAAAAAAAATATGAGAAGATAATTCAATCATAATAAACAAGCTAAAATATACATTAACATGTCCACTTCATGATCTCATTAGTCAATTAATACTACCAAGTACACAACTCCAAAATGCACCTAAACGTTACCTCAACTTAAGGTAGAGGAGAATAACACTTTCCGTTCGACCTCTCATTTCTTGGTTTTGTCCAGTACTTCAATGTATCTCTTTGGAATTCCGTATCGCTCAATCAAATGCTTTGCTAGGTCATCAATAACGCCACCTTGAACCAGGACCTCATGTCCTTTTTTACCTGGAACAACAAACACAAGAACGTAAGCATCCAACAAAAATGATGAGATAATTAGTTGGAGAGTTTTAACTTGATACAGTAAGCATCAAAGATTTTCTTAGTACAAGAAGAACAAGAAAAGTTACAGGAAACACACTGATCTAGTAGCAAAATTTTGCTAGGATCCTAGCTAATTCTGAGAAATCACAGTATAACTCTGCAATAAAGCAGAAGAAAGAACTGAGGTTTATTGGACTCGGGATGATAATGAGGCGCTATTAATTTATTAACCCTCTTATTTATACTAACAATTCCTTCTAACAAACTCTAATTGCTACAGACTACTAATCAATTACAACACCCTTTGCCCACACTTAAGCTCTAATTGGTTGGATACCAAATTTCTCAGCAAAAATACAAAGACCGAAGAAGCATCATACCAGGAAGTTCTGCCACAGACGTGCTACAAGCAAACTTTTTCTGCAGCTCAGATGCCAAAGCATCAGCATCGATCAAAAATGTTTCCATCCCAGAGAGTTTTGTCACCTTTTTGTTGCCTTGCCTTCGTTCTGTCACTATCTGGATTGTTTTCAGACCACCTTTACGAACAACCGACTCACCTCCTCTAGTCACAATGTGATGAGCTTGCATCCGGTTTATGAATGTTGATCCCAGATCTTTCTTATGAATTTCTGTTGGATATGTCGAACCTTTTTTTATGGCTCCCTTGAACAGTGCATCACATAATATCGCATCCAAAACAACGATGGACTTGTTTGTCAGCTTCACAAGATTCTCATTCTCGATATATTTATAAACAACAGCAATGGCATCTGAAGCACTGTAAAGCATTCCTGTACCAGCTCCTACAGCCGTAAATATGGGATTTACATGTACACTCGGTTTATAAATCTCCGCAACTTCAAGCATTTTATTATCAGACCGACTTTCACCCTGAGAATGTTCTGTGGTCTGCTCACTTTTCTCAATTTTCCGTTTCTCTGGCTTGAAGGATGAGTAATCTGGATGACCACGATTAACAGCGAATAACACAGCCTCTTTCTTATGCTTATCCTCTTTTGCTGTTATCTGCATGGGTATTAATGTCGTTTTGATGAGCATATAAGACGCACTTAATGAAAACTAAAAGCATCAAGCGTAAAAAAACTAGATATGTTGACTCCTGATCGAAATAGCTTTGTGCAAAAAGTTATCAGATCCCCTTCCGGCTTTATGAGAGAGAGCGTAAAATCAGATGATAATGGTGTTTTAGATACACTGAAAATGTTGCTTTCCCTCATAAAATTAGACTCAATCTTCCGTGGCACAAAGCACAAAACAAACATGGAGCCATGAGTTGAAAAATCAAATTATACACACAAAAAAAAATAATACTAACAATTAGATAATGTTATATAAAAGAGACAGATAAATCAAAAGAGAAATTATTTGAATGTCTGCCCAACATAGCAGTAAAGAGACTTTGCCGTGCGATATCTAAAAGCACTTAAAACTCTCAAAATGTTTCAAGATCAGATTACCAACTTTTTCTTTTATTTCATTTCTTGAAGTGAATAAAGCTTGTTAAATACATACCAATCCTGTAGAAGATTTAGCTAGTAGCCACTTTGACAATTTCTTATGCGATGATTTCTTGATGTCAAGGGTGACGCCTGAAGGTCTACAAGGTAATACGTGATTTGACCTAGACAATCAAAAAGAAAACAGCAACAGCTATTAGAAAATTCTATAAGTGCATAGCAACTGAAAATATTAGACCAAAAGGTTGTTAACCAACTATTCCAAGACGAGATGTCAACCCGCAATTTATTATAGAGAGAGAGAGAGAGAGAATCTAACGAGGAAGGGATCTTAGATCATTAAAAATTTACCATAGTGTGCTTCCAGGCATGGGCAAGTCTTTATCTTTGACAGTTGTGTGCAACGCTTGCAGTAGACACTTGTCCAAAAGCATGTCCACATCCTCAATGGACAAAGGCTGTTGATCCTCCACAACCATTTCATCGGCAGTAGTGGTATCCGTTACCTTCAAATCCGCTACACCTGAGGTTATCCCTTCAGCAGTATCATTTTTGCCTTCAATTTGGGATACTGAAGCAGAATCAAGTATAGGGTGTTCCTCAGCTGCACCAACAGAGTCCTCTACTTCTTTTCCATTAGTCTCACTCGGTTGGTTATGCGAAGAATCTGTAGCATCGTCACGTGAATCTGAAGTTTGACATGATGATGAGGCCGGATCCTCAAACACCACATCTTCCAAAAATCCTGCATTTGGTACATAGTGGCCTTCAACTGATTCCCTGCCGAAAGGTACCAGAAGTACATTAAATCAAGAAGTACTTCAAATTTCAAGCAGAATTTATTCTCTGAGGCAGATAATGAAATACTTGCCAAAGTAAGTCACGATAATAGTGAGTAATTTTCAAAGCCTTCCCTCGCAAACCAGCTTTTAATGCTTCAGCGCTGCTCATTGTGGTACTCCCAACCTTGAGGAAACAATATGAATTTTCTTAAACCAAGACCATTAATCTATCTGGAGAAATAGTGATGCGGAACAAGATGCAGATATTAGGTACTAGGAATTAGACTATGTATGTACCTATTAGGATTATTTAGGTTTGGTTTAGCTTATCTCATTGTTATGTTGAGTTTATCTTATCATTATATCTATTTCTCTAGAAATTGATCTAGCGGTTGAATTTTAAACTTTGACCATAAAAGGGATTTCATCTTGATTGTTCTTCTCTCTCTAAACTCCAAAATTTCTATTCTCCTTCCCTCTATTTCTCTCTCTTTTATCTTCTCCCTAGGTCCTGCATCAAACAGTTTTGGAAGCTCGAAAGCATTGAATTTGAGGAAATAACTTACTGCAATTGGAGCAGGATTTCCGGGAACTTTGACAGCCCATGGTTCGCCAGCAGAAAATGAAGGCAGACCTTCAGCAGGTACGCTGATACCTGGAAACATGAGATCAGCACCCCCAATGACATAACGAGAGACCTCGCCCCCTTTCAACAAGAAAGAAGGCATTAGATCAGGAACCTTCCAGAGAGCATATACTGCAATCATAACATGGAAGACCAGTCAACTTTATTATTTATTACAAAAAGATTCACACTTGAACAGCAGTAAGTAAAATTTGACTTCTTTTGCTGACTACAAAACATCCTAAATACTCCCACACTAATTACGCATTAAAAGAATCAATTTTTACAATGGGCATATGCTTGCTTATCACAAATTATAAATTCTAATTTGGTGAAGCCCACGTGATGTAAGGATAAGGGGGGAAAATGACAATCCCAATCATCCCCGGTTTTGATTCCATTTGAAATAGAATAAATTACAAAATCATGATTGTAGCCTTGATAAGTTTTAATCCAATATTACAAACACAAGAATGTCTTATCTTAGTATAAACTATGTTAGGATTCTTATTTGTGAAATTACTAAACACCGTAAAGGAAATTGAATTGTTAGTAATTCCATTCTCATTCCCAAGCACTTCCTTTGTCATTCATTACTAAATCATAATCTGTAAATGAAGCTATAATAATGTATACTAAAGCAGAGAAAGCAAGACAAAAAAAGAGAATAAAGAGTGACCTGTTGGGAAAATCTCATTGCCTCGACCATCGATATCGAAAAACACAGGAAAAGCAGCTTCAACGCTATAAACATGAACTCGATTCTGAAACTTGGCAACCGTAATCTCCGCCTATAAAAGTAAAGCTATTTTAATTAATAATTAAGAAGAAGGAAGATGATGATTTTGAGAAAAACAAAAACAAAAATGATTGCATATAATGGAGTGGACCTTGGGAGGAAGTAAGGAATCAATATCAGAATCGGAAGCGGCGGGGAATCTGTCCTTGACGGTCCTCTTGAGCTTCTTCCTGTCAGCACCTGACAATCTCTGGTGCGACTTCAGCTCTATCGCCTTCTTAAACATCTTCTTTGCTTATTATTCTCTCTCTTCTTCTTCAACAAAACCAAGTTTCTTCCTCTTTTGCCACGCTTTCAGTGAAGTGAAGGTTGCCCCTGCTTGCCAGGTTAAGCTTCTAGGGATTTTATTTTGCCAACGCTAACATTTTTTCTGCAATTTCCTTTTATTTTTGTTTTTTTATTTATTTATTTTTTGCTTTTACTTTTGTAATTGAACTTCTGTAAAGTAGACTATTAAAAGCCTAGTTATGTGATCATGTGAAGCCCGACTCATGACTCATGACTAACGAGTATACCAACATTCTTAGAAGACTTTTTCTCTTTAATTGGATTTTAGACAAATTTCAATATTTTTTGAAACTTCAAGAGTAAAAATGACACTTTATATATATATATATATATATATATTAGTTATGTAACGTGCGAATATTGTCGTGCTATTGAAAATTTTATTATTTAACGAATAAAGAGAAATTCATTACACAATCATTTAAAAAATTTTGAATTTATTTAAAAAAAAGAAGTGTGTAAAGATAACAATTGACAAAAAAAATAAGTTGAGATATATTTGAAGAAAATTATTTTAATCAATTAAAAATAAAATAGAATCACGTACAAAAAAATTACTCTTACAAGAGTAAAGTGAGAAACAATATATTTTTAAAAATACAAAAAAAATAAAAATGTAAAACAAATCACAAAAGAATAAAGATAAAAAAGAAAAAAAAAGAAAAGAAAAATAGAAAGAGTGTCACGTGAGAGCCCATAGAAAAGAATTTTCCCTTTAATGTATTGTTAGATGTTAGATAAAAATAATAATAATAATAATAAAAAGGTGGGGAACTTATCTTTATTTTTGTCAGCTATAAAAACTACTAATAAGTGTGAATGAAATTTAGATTATTTTTCTTTTTCGACAATATAAAACAATTGATGAACTAACATGCACACGTTCAGAGTAGTTGATTACCAAGCTGGTTCTTTTTCACATTATCACTAGTAAAGTAAGGTTTTTATGTGCATAATAAGTTTTTACTTCACAGAAGAACAAACTCATAGGAATAAGTTGTTTCTTTGGCTTTAGCCTTCTTTAGCCATCAACCTCATAATGAATTATGAAACACTCTTCCCTTTTATCTTTTTCCTGTGAAAATAAAGTAAGCCATCGCATGTGCACTAACCAAGCATACTACTTGGTGGATTAGCGGGCTAATCATGAATAATATCCGAGGAAAAAGGAAAGGTAAATTCATGATGATCCACAAAATCTGCAAAAAGTTCAGAAGAACCAACACTAATAGGACTCAATAAGCGCTATGATTATTTTTAGTTTAAACAAAATCTTGGAAAGCTCCATCACCATACTTGAAGAATTAGTTTTTGCATATAACTTTCAGCATAGCATCATTCAGGCAAAGATTTAGGCTATTTGAACATCGTCAAAACTCAAGCGTCGAAACTCAAGCACCACACCGCTGGAAAACAGATTCCAATGCGCCTCACTAGTTCAGGCAATATGCCCAGCCAAACTAAGAATCTTGACATGCTTTTTCTTCCTGAGCTCATGAGGGACTGGCCCGAAAACTCGAGTCCCGATTGGTTGGCCTTGCTTGTCAACAAGCACCACGGCATTGTCGTCAAACTTGACTTCACTTCCATCGCAACGGCCCCTTTGCATCGCAGCACGGACAACAACTCCATATACAACCTTTCCTTTCTTCACCTTCCCATTAGGATAGGCTTCCTTTACAGATGCAACTATCGTGTCCCCCAGTCTTGCCCCTTTCTTCCCCTTCAGAGCTTGTATGCACATCACTTTCTTCGCCCCGGAGTTGTCGACAACTTTGAGAACAGTCCTCATCTGTATAAAACTCCTCTGCTGCTGCAATGTCGCAAAAAAATAAATCAGCACCTCATAAAATAGTCTAGCATAGTTGACAATTTATATTTAGTTAAACCATATTTGGAGAGAAATCAACTATGAATATGATTGCTCTAAACCTCCCAGCCTGCCTAACTGTTTTACCCCAAAAGCAACACAAAAGAAATGAAAAGGTCATGTATTTGAAACAACAATATTATACAACCATGAAAGGAAACTTAGAAGTGAAATAAAAAAGTACCAAGTAGTTCATTTTACATAAACAAAGTCATAATATTTAAGGCTTACTATGGACCAGTACACTAACTTGAGACAAGCAATTGCAGGGCGTCACCTCCCGTGATGTGTTTACCAAATCAGACAAGTTGTTGCCAAGTCCACCCAACAATGAACGGCCCGCTAGTTATGGTACCAAGCACATTCAATAGAAGGCAAAGAGTCAAGTCACATAAAAACTTACGCCCGTCGATGATAGTAACAAATTAAACAAGCTGAGTTTCTGTTTCCCACAGGAAATTAAAGATAGTATGGTTCAATGCAGTTCAAGAACATGCCGTATCATTCAGAAAATAAGCCAAGAAACTTTTCCAATACTACAATCGTCAACGCTGACTTGACAAATTTAAATCTGTTATAATGGAATAAACAGCTTTCCATTGAGGAAGCCAATACCATCACAACTCCAAATGGCAATCGTTATGGTATAAATCATCTGAGCAGGAACTTGAGCACTCGTACAGTTGTCGTACATGGAAATGGTTATGGCAACAAAAATATGAGGAAACCCAGTACTGATTCCTTCCACCTCTCTTAGACTACCAAAAAAAAAAAAAAAAAAAAAAAAAAAAAAAAAAAAAAAAAAAAAAAAAAAAAAAGAAGAAGAAGAAGAAGAAGAAGAAGAGCACCATTGACGCCTCTACATCCCACGCTCGAATTAGCCCTAGAACATTGATGACACAACAAAACATTACTCGCAAGGTAAGCTCGAAAGCTTGCTGATTTTTCCTTTTGAATCATATAACAGGTATTTTCAAAAGAATTCCATTCCTAGGTTACAAGTATTTCATCACAAGCAAAGAAATTCCTAAGAATCATTTCTTCGTTTAGGGTAGTCTTTAATTCGAAAAGCCAAAAACATCGGACTGAAATGAGAGTTACAGTTTTAATTATCATAACAGGAAAAGAGGTGTTTATTGAGAGAGAATAAAATCGTACCACGGAAACACCTGGAAGCGAAATTGGCAGCCATTTCTGCGTTTTATACAACGTTGTTCGGAACGAAAGAAAGAAAAAGACTTGTCCTATTCCTCTCCTTCAGGCCCTGCGAATACCAATAACCCCCACATAAAAGCAAAAGTAAGAGTGAGAAGTAGCGAGAGAAGAATATATCAAATGAGCCTCGAATTTGTTTTTTTTTTTTTTTCTTTGGTCTAAAATAAGATGAACTCTGAGAGAGACATATGAGCTGAATTAAATCTCCCAAAGTATCTATAAACCAAGTAACATCAAATCCCACCTAGAGAGAGAAAGTCCTTTTTCTCGATAGAGAGAGAAGAGTGGTGGAGAGGCCTCAACGGCGGCAGCGGCGGCTCTCAGCAGGTGACACCGACTCAGAGAGTCTACGGTGAACTATTATGATGAGTGATGACAGAGTAATAGAGAGAGAGAGACGAGTTAGGGATTTATGTTCCTCCCCCCTCCCCCCTTTTTGTGTTATTATTTATTTGTTTTTTTGATCCATTTATTTTCTTTTCTTCTCAAAAAGAAACTGATGAGACGTTTAATAAGGGGATTCATATCATAATTTGAATCATAATTTATAATTTATTACAGTATTTTTTCTCATAAAAAATACACATAAATTGAAAATGGTTCTAATATCATGATTCTAATCCATGAACCAAACGTCAGTTGAATAACAAAACCCAGAAATATATAGGAGTTGTTTGGTTGGGGGATTCGTACCTCGATTTGAATCATGGTTCGTGGTTCGCTATAGTGTTTTCTCTCACAAAAAATATACGTAAATCAAAAATGGTTCTAATCTCATGATTCTAATCCATGAACCAAAACGTTAGATGAATTTGGGGTGTTACTTTTATTTTTTAATTAATATATAATAGACCATATTTCATTTTATCAAATAAATATTATACTTTAGAGCCCGTTTGGTTGGAGGATTCGTTCTCTGATTCGAATCATGGTTCATGGTTTACAGTATTTTTTCTCACGAAAAACACACGTAAATAAAAAATGATTCTAATCTCATTGTTCTAATCTATGAACCAAACGGGCTATTAGAGATCGTTTGGTATGAGAATTCAAATCATGGTGATTCTAGTTTTGATTTTGGAATCATAATCGTGATTCATGATTTTGGGTCCAAATCATGGTTCTGAAACCATAACCAGAATTAGGGGTTTGAACCACCCAAAACTACGTTTGGTTCATGAATTAGAATCATGTGATTAGAATCATTTTTTATTTACGTGTATTTTTTATGAGAGAAAATATTGTAGTAAAGCATGAACTATGATTCAAATCATGGTTTGAATCCTCCAACTAAACCAGTTCAAGGGTGATTCATGGTTTAAAATATCACATCATGGTTTAAATCTTGAATCAGAACCATCATAACCAAACATTGATTTTAGGTGAGTCAAATCAGAATCACCTTTTACTTTTTGTAAACAAACAATGGTTCTCAATGAGAATCATGGTTCTGAGTTCAAAACCCTTACACCAAACAACACATTATTATTACATATGTCAAATGTAACACTAATTTTAAATTATAGTTTAGATAGGCATGGCGACATTTCCCAATTTGAATTAGAAATAAAATCTGAACAGTGTTTGGATAAAGTGTTGAAAACTATCATTATAGTTTTATAACAAATCTTATAAAACCTCATTATAAATGACATTAAAAAAATAATATGGGTGGAGATTTGTTCATCTTTTCATTATGAATACATTAAAAAAAATCATCTCAATCGGAATTAAAATGAAAAAGTTATGACATTTTTAAGATTGAAATTGCAGATGGAGAAGAAGTAAAATCTCGAACTATTTAACTGTTGACAATAATTCGGATTGTTAGAATTTAGGGAAGGTGAATTCTAAAATCAATAATTTGAGTTGTCCTTGAACCATTGTTAATGATTTAAATTGTTTTTAAATTTTCTTCTCCTAAATACCAATTTGAATCTTGAACTAAGATTTGAATCTTAAATAACAGTTTGAGTTATTGAAACAGAGATAACATGATTTCATGAGTAAAATTACGTGTTGTATTCTTCATCACTAACTCATTTTGGGTTTGATAAGTTTTCTCCATCAATAATCTGACTACTAAACTAGTAATTAATCTTCTAAAAAGCCTATGAACTTACATTAACCCAGTGTAAGTCTAGTAGGGAAATAAAAAGGTGCTTTTGGAATTCGTTTTAAAACGATTTTATTTTTTGTACGAAAATGAAAATGAAAATGAAAACGTTTTCAATCTCAAATAGAAATTCTTTTTGAAAATGTGTTTGATAGTTTTATCAAGAGATTATTTTAGTATAAAAAATCCATTAATGTCTCTTTTTCTACTTGAGAGATGAGAAAATATAAATAAAAAATGAAAAACGACTAAAAGTCATTTTTCATTTATCTCTCATTTTACACTAAATCAAAAAATCGTTTTCATTTATGTTTTTTTATCTTTAATTATGTCAAACGCCGTTTCTCTCTTGTGTTAATTTTTTTCTCAAAAAATGTAAAAAATAAAAATAAAAACAACTCCAAACGGCCAAACATTTTAGAAAATTTTAAAAAAAAAAAAAAAAAAAAAAAAAAAAAAACCATGGAAGCTGCGTGGGTATGTCATTTGCTACTGACTTTGACAATTCTTAATTTCTTATAATAGTCATTTTCAAACATCTCGTTGAGCAGCACAAGTTTTCTTTTCTATTTTCTCAAGGGTTGCCTTGGATTGGACCTACCAAATACCAATACTTACATACGCGTTTTTTTTACTAAAATTTTTAAAAAAATTAAATTCAAGTTATAATTTTATTTAAATTCACGTTCTTTTATAAAATTTAAGTTTGAACAAGTCTCGTTTAGTTCGTTGATTCGAGTTTTTAATTCGAGTTAAGATGTGACTTTATGTGAGAGTTTTTTACCGTAATAAAAAAATTAGATGTGACTGTTTAGTAAAACTTGAATTCTAAACTCGAATCAGTAAAATGAACGGGGTCATTAATTTGAGTTTAGGATTAAAATTTGAGTTTTAAGTTCACCCTTCAACTCAAGTTCATAAACTCAAACTTAAGTTAATGAATAGTATTTTTTTTATTCTTAAAAATATCATAACTTTTTCGTTTTAATTTCGATTGAGATGATTTTTTTATGCGTTCACAATGAATAGATGAATAAAATCTCATCCATATATTTTATTAAAACTTTCCATCACTATTGAGTTTTTATTAAAATACTATCTAAATATAAATTCAAGTTTTGACACACTCAAACACAAACTCAAATAGATTGTCAATTCAAGCCATAACTTAAATGTGCACATCTAAATACAAACTCAAATTATAACTCAAATTCAACTCAATATCAAAACTCAAGTTATAATTCAAAAATGCAATCGAACGCCATAATAATATTTACACAATTTTCCAAAGATTTGCATTTTTATTTATTTATTTATTTTACCGCTCCTTCCTTCTTTGGAGTTTATAAGGTACGGAATCCAGTTACATATGTTTGTAAACGGTAAACCCGCCAAAACATGTTTACAAACCCAGCCCATATTACCAAAGATGTCGTTGTCCTTAAGATTGGGACACCATACAGTAAGCAAATAGGTTGCCCCAACACCCATGACCCTTTTATTTTTCCTTTTCTATTATTATTATTATTTTTTCAAAATTTAAATGTCACCGACCGTCCGTGTTGACAATCACAAGCAAACCCACACTCGACAAATGAAAGTAACAATGACAAATAATAATAATATAATTCTAAGAAATGAAAAAAATGACAGATGGAATCACCAAAAAGGAAAAAATGTAACTCTTTTACAGTTACGTTACGCCGTCCAAAGGACCAAAAGCATGCCACCGTACAATTCTTTGAAAAATCAGATCAGATTTATATATAAATTGAAAAAACTTTCATAAACTTAAATTACAGGACGAAACGACAGCATAACAACAGAACTAAACGACAACGTAACACATGCATGAGTTGGTTTACTTACATATGCGACATAGCAAGCGGCACTCTCTAGTTTTACCGCAATTAGGTAGCAACGATAATTAAGCATGCCATTTCTTCTCCTTTTAGTTCAAGGTTTTAAATTTATAAATTTTTTTTCTCTCTTTTACAATTTTCACACAAGACGTTCTGTCATTGGTGATAGAGTGAAATTGGATCCATCATTCAATTTGATTAGAATCAAGTTGTTTCTGCTATATTAATTAGCGTCAAATTTTTTAAGTAATTGAATGAATGATAAACAAAATGACACCATTAATGCTCTCTTTTATTTGGTGAGATGTTGTATCTTAAGATAATATAAGATAAGAAGATGATGTATGTATGTATATTCACACGTTAAGAACTTGAATTGTATACGTGAGAAAAAAATACTATAATAAAAAAATTAAATTTTTAAAATTTTACGATAAAATACACTATAAAACTTGAATCCGCGAAATGAACGAGACCATTGAGAAGAGACATCAATAACTGCATGCTTTTTATATTCACTAACAAACTGCACACTTTTTATTTTTGATTTTCAGTTTAATTTTTATTCTGCAACTGAGCTTGCTAAGAAATGAAAAAATAAAATAAAGAAAATTGTGAAATATAAAAAAAAAATAGAGAGGAAATAGTGGAAAGAACCATGTTCATTTTTCACATTCTAACCCAAAAAAAATTCAAAACAAGACATAACTGAAGACAGAAAGAAGTTTCAAATTTGAAAAGAAACAGAGAATTGGGAAAATAAATCCCTGAAAATACCTAATAAATAAGAGAAGGAAAACAAATATTTCAGAAAAAAAGAAAAAAAAATTCAAAGTAGAAAAGAAAGGAGAGAGAGAAAGTTGCGAAAACATTTCAAAACGCGAGAGAGAGAGTGGGAGAGAGAGTTTTAGAGAGAGAGAGAGAGGGGTTCTTCTTTATCTTTCTTCTCCAACATTTCCTCTTTCGCAGTATTATTACAAAACAAACCATCTTTCTTCTTCTCTTTTCAAAATTGACCTCAAATCCCTGAGATCTCATCCCTTCTCCCCAATCTTTAGGGTTTTGTCCCGATTCGATCCGATCCCTCTCCTTCCTCTCGATTCGATTGATTTTAGATCTTTGATCTCAAATACTTTCTTCTGCCATGGAAGCGATCGAGGAGTTGTCGCAACTCTCCGACTCGATGCGTCAAGCCGCCGCTTTACTTGCCGACGAAGATGTCGACGAAAATTCCAGCTCCTCCCGACGCGATTCCACTTTCCTCAATGTCGTCGCGCTCGGCAATGTCGTGAGTGCTTTCGTTTATCTTCACTTGGATTCGATCCATTTTCATTCGTATTGCTATTTTGGGTGACTGGGTTTTTTCCCTTCGGAAGCAGAAGATTTATCTTTTGCCCCCTTTCTGGATTAGGTCAGATTTAGATTTATTTGTTTGGACCGAGGAAGATCTTTGATTAATCTGGGTGGGTCTGTTCGGGATCTCGAGCGATGTAGTGATTTTTCTTACAGTTAAGATTGCTAATGGCTAAAACTCTAAGTTGGGGTTTTAATTTCTAGTCTATTTGATTGAGAAGAACGGCCGAGGAGCAGATAGAAATGGAAGTTTTTAGGGTTCATATGACTGTCTTGGGTAACGTGGAGATTGTTCCCAGAAATGAGGAATTTCTATACTTATCGCTAGGATTTATACCGATGTAGAATTCCCAATTTCATTTTTTTTTTCGTTTGATTGATTGTAGCACGAAATGTATTCTTAGTTTAGTTAGATCCTAAAACTTGGTTAGTTTACCGTTTAATTATCCTTAGAGTTGGTCTTTATGTCAGAATTAGGATAAATTATCGGATAATGGGCCTATCATTTTTAACATCTTCTTTTTCTAAATTGCTGATAGCCAACAGTGGTGGCATCTCTGAAAAATATGAGAATTTGATTAAGCTTTGAGCTGACGAACTATGAGCTATTTTAAGATAGGTCTGAGGTGCAATGTGGAAAGTGGATCAGCCTTGTGCTCTGTATTATTTTCTTTTAATTATTTAAACTTACTCATGCATCATTTTTGTTGGGGCTCAATATGTTCAGGGTGCCGGTAAATCAGCAGTCTTGAACAGTTTAATTGGACATCCTGTTCTGGTAAGCTGGTTTCATAGTGTTTTCATTGCATATGTATCATACAATTTTTCCGGTAGAACCTCATAAAGATTCTATCTTCTTCTAAGTTTCTTTTCTTATGTTTGTCCAGCCAACTGGTGAAAATGGTGCTACTCGAGCTCCCATAAGCATAGATTTACAGCGGGATGGTGCTCTGAGCAGCAAATCAATTATTTTACAGATTGACAACAAATCACAGCAAGTTTCTGCAAGTCAGTAAAACGCAACTTTGTTGTCTGTGACGACCATGATTTCTTACTTTTCATTTTCTTTTTCTATGATCTTTTTGTTCTGTATTCCAGAACTCTTTTGACAGCCCTAGCTGTAACTGGAATTTTTCTATGACTGCCTGTTAGTTTCTGGCACATGCTTAGGTGATAATATTCAGTGTCTATACACTCCTAGTGATGCAAGCTGGATATTGTAAATAGATCATCACTGGTGTTATGGCTACTTTTACATTTTAATGTTCATTTTGCATGTCTATTCTCTCTCTCTCTCTCTCTCTCTCTCTCTCTCTTGCGGCTTTATTTGCCTTATTATTATTGTTATTTTGTAGGTGCTCTGCGCCATTCTCTGCAAGATAGGTTGAGTAAGGGTTCCTCAGGCAAGAGCCGTGATGAAATATACTTGAAACTACGGACAAGTACAGGTTGGTTTGTGATTGCTTGTGTGATAGTCAACAGAGTTCGGCCCCTAAGTTTACTTTCTCAGTAATGCTTAAAATTAATTTTAGTTGTCAGTTAAGTTTACTTTCTCAGTAATGCTTAAAATTAATTTTAGTTGTCAGTTATTTTCTGTTTGGAGTGTTTTCATGTTAGTTATATCTGTCATCAACTGTCTTGCCAGTGGTTATTTTACTTGATATCCTTGTATCTTATGTGCAATTCTAATTGCTTTGCTTTCATGATTTTTTTTCAGCGCCTCCTCTCAAATTGATTGATTTACCTGGGCTGGACCAGCGGATCATGGATGAATCTTTGGTAAGGGACTAAGGGGTTTTAATGGTTGATTCCATAGGTTATGTTACAGAATTGTCCATGAGTTTATTTGATACCGTTTTCTGGAAAGGGTTCCTTTTATTTAATTTAATTTTTGTTTTCAATAAAAAGAATTTTAAATATTTAAGCTAAAATCTAGGTATGTAGCTCATCATGATTTCTGGTATTTGATAAGTTGTTTAGTAAATTTCTAATGGTTCATACATAGGTTAGTGAATATGCTGAGCACAACGATGCAATCTTGCTGATTGTTGTCCCTGCTGCTCAAGCACCTGAAGTTGCCTCATGCCGAGCTCTCAGAGTTGCCAAGGAATTTGACGGAGACGGTAAAATTGCTATTTTTTAACCTATACTGGCTTTTCTTTTTCCTTTTTTGTTTTAGAATTTCTATCCTCCCGGTGTGAGGATTCTGAGATGTTGTTTGTACACCTTGAGCTCTTGATAGTTTTCTTCTGTACATGTGCTGATTGTTTTCTGAGTTTCTGCCCCATATTACCCCTCTACTGTTGTGTATCATTCCTCTTCTCCAGCTCTATATTTTTTTAAAAGTTTTTTTGGGGGCTAATGGGGAACCAATATTGATTACAGGCACGAGAACCATTGGTGTAATCAGCAAAATAGATCAAGCTGCTTCGGACCAGAAAGCTCTTGCTGCAGTCCAGGCTCTTCTGTTAAATCAGGGGCCATCAAGGGCTTCGGATATGCTCTGGGTTGCATTAATTGGTCAGTCAGTTTCAATAGCTTCAGCACAGTCTGGATCTGTTGGTTCTGAGAATTCTTTAGAAACAGCATGGAGGGCTGAGAGTGAAAGTCTCAAGTCCATCCTGACTGGCGCTCCTCAAAGTAAGCTAGGCAGAATAGCATTGGTGGATGCTTTAGCTCAGCAAATTCGCAGTCGTATGAAAGTCCGCCTTCCTAACCTCCTATCTGGGTAAATTTCTTAGACAAATTCTGGATGCGTACTTTCTAATACATGCACACTTGATCTTTGTGGTAGTTTACAAATTTGTTAAATAACCATTTAGTTACAACTTGGTGTTTGTGAGTTTGCTAACAAGAGCTATTTACGAGTAAATTCATCCCTTTTCTACCCTGAATCCAAATGTGATATTAAATTTAGTAGGGAATTTGTTTCACATTCTCCCTTTTATATTTTGCAGGTTACAGGGTAAGTCCCAAATAGTCCAGGATGAGTTAGTTAGGCTTGGTGAGCAAATGGTGCAAAGTGCCGAGGGCACCAGAGCAATAGCTTTAGAACTTTGCCGTGAATTTGAGGATAAGTTTCTTCAACACATTACGAGTGGTGAGGTAAGTTTTCTTTTGTAATACCTTCTTCTGGAGATTTTTATTATTTAATACTTTGCACGCCAGGTCCCTGAGTGTTATTTTGTTTCTCCCTATTTATTGTCTTGAACGTGCTTATAAATGTGTACAAGATTCATTTAGTTGCCACTTTTGCTAACAAACTTCTATTGTAGGGTTCTGGTTGGAAAATTGTTGCTAGTTTTGAAGGGAACTTTCCTAATAGAATCAAGCAGCTTCCATTAGACCGGCATTTTGATATCAACAATGTGAAAAGAGTATGTATAATTTGCCACATTGCCTCAATTTATTTTTTCTTTGTCTGTCTTTTCTTCTTCTTCTTATTTTTCTTTTTTTTTTCTTTTCTAATTTAAAAAAATTCACTTACTTATTGTATATTTTTATTATTCTGTTACCAGATTGTCTTAGAAGCAGATGGTTACCAGCCATATCTCATATCCCCTGAAAAGGGTTTAAGATCTTTAATAAAAGGTGTTTTGGAGCTTGCAAAAGAACCGTCACGTCTTTGTGTTGATGAGGTAATTCTAGAAATTTAGTATTGTTGTTTTGAAAAAGTTGAATCCTCCTGTTTTGCATTTCTGAAAAGCATTTATCTTCTTATTCTTCCTTTTTCTTTTAAATCTTTCTCTATTTTGCAAAATGAAATTCTTGCCTATATGATACTTCTTTGATTATTGAGGGTGTCAAATCTCTAGTAAATGGTATAAGACTGATGGGGTGCATGCCGATTTTTAAAAGGTACATCGTGTCCTGGTTGATATTGTTTCTGCCGCTGCAGCTGCTACCCCTGGTCTTGGAAGATATCCTCCTTTCAAGAGAGAGGTAGACAACCCCTCATTTTTCATTTCCCCTATTAGTGCATGTAGTTGTACTTGCACTGTCATAGTTCTAATTTTATAATATTGTTTTTCTTTTTCTTTAATGTGTTACACAGGTTGTGGCCATTGCAAGTGCTGCTTTAGATGGGTTCAAAAATGAGGCGAAGAAAATGGTGGTGGCCCTAGTAGATATGGAGCGGGCTTTTGTACCTCCTCAACACTTCATTCGTTTAGTACAAAGGAGGTATTATTGAAAATTTGAGATACTTTGGTCAATAACCTGTTAACTTTGATTCGGAGTTTCTACTATATTCATTATGACCTCGAATTTCAAGCATGAGATTGTTTGCTTGTTAGTTTTGTAGCTTTTATTTATTTATTTATTTATTGTTTAATTTTCCTCTTTTTCCCCTGTAATGTGAATATGTGGCTATTCTAAAGCAAGGAAGTTAAAGAAAAACTTCCAAGTGCTGCTTTAGATGGCCATTACCCCTGTAATTTACTTTTGCTTTATCCGTGGTTGGTGTATTTTTAATGCTCATATGCAGCCATTGATTTTATAAATTCTTTGTTAATTCAGAATGGAGAGACAACGCAGAGAGGAGGAGCTGAAAAACAGATCATCCAAGAAGGGGCAGGATGCGGAGCAATCAATACTAAATAGGGTAGGATATCTTTGTCTGGTGTAAATTGATGGACTGTGCTCTATGAGTTTATTCATGGTGTTCAGTTTTCATGTGTCAATTATTCTTTTGCCCTTTATTTGAAACGTCCTAGGCAACAAGTCCACAAACAGGTGGTCAGCAAACTGGTGGAAGCTTGAAATCATTGAAGGATAAATCTGATAAGGCAGAAAAAGATGCACCTGAGACGTCTGGTTTGAAAACTGCAGGTCCTGAAGGCGAAATCACGGCAGGTTTGTGAAGAAAACAAAAACTAGCTTCTTGATTTATAGTATTATTTTGTGGTCTCTTGAGGGGTATTGGCATTTTTTTTTCCAAGATATACTGCGTGCTGTTTGAAACTTAATGTGTCCATTATTTTTCTAATATGCACAGGTTTTCTACTAAAGAAAAGTGCAAAAACTAATGGTTGGAGCAGGCGATGGTTTGTTTTGAATGAAAAGACTGGAAAGGTCTGTTGTAGTTTTCTGTATGCCCTATTTGTTTCGTTGCAAAGTTATGTTGCCCAATACCATAATACGGGTGTTAAAAACCATGGTATTGTTTACCTTCCTGTTGGAATGTCCTGCAGTTGCTGAATGAGTCGTGGTCTTGCATACTTCACGTATTATTGTTTGCACTGTGTATATATATATATATATTTTCAAATTTCTTGCTATTTATTTATTTAACTCGACCGCTATATCTCTTTATAGCTTGGCTATACCAAGAAGCAAGAAGAAAGACACTTTCGTGGTGTGATCACCTTGGAGGTATGGAGAAACATTATCCCCCTTGTCCTGTTAGATTTTTATTTTTCATGAACTAAGGCTTGATGCTCAAATTTTTCATATATGAATAACATTTAACTCCTGGTTACTTCATTACTTCAAGAATATGAAAAGACTCCTGCAAGACAATTGATTTTGACAAATAAATATTCACATTCTTATTATGCATGTGAAGCATGAACAGCATCACGTATCATTTCTTTTTTACTTGTACGTTCTGGTAGATTTGTCTAACATATTAACCTTGTTTTCTTAATGCTCCAATGAATGAATTCACAATGTTTAAAGCTTAAAATGCATGTGAGAACATTTTTTTTTAATTCCCATTCATCTCCCTTACAATTTTTCTCTTTCAGGAATGTAATATTGAAGAGGCTGCAGATGAAGAGGAACCCCCTGCAAAGAGTTCAAAGGATAAGAAGGCCAATGGACCAGATTCTGGGAAAGCAACCAGTCTTGTGTTTAAACTTACCAGCAAGGTCCCATATAAAACTGTATTGAAAGGTATCGTTTTCTATTGGCTGCTTTAGTAGTTCTGCAGTGGGTTTTTTGCCTTCTTTGAAAAGATTGATGTTTGTTTTCTGCTTATTGCTTTGTTCCCTTGTGTCTTGCAGCACACAGTGCTGTTCTCTTGAAGGCTGAGAGCATGAATGACAAGGTTGAGTGGATAAACAAAATCAGAAATGTTATTCAACCGTCCAGAGGAGGAAGAGGAACATCAAATGAAGGTGGTCTTACCATGCGGCAGAGTCTCTCTGATGGTTCCTTGGTGAGTTTCTGACTTATGCTACTATTTAATTTTGATGCAGTTGATAGAGGGTTGAGAGATGCATAGACAAGTTCTTTTCAATTTTCCATTATTAATTTAGGTGTAGGAAGCTAGTACTATTATTTTGTCTATTAAGCGTGTTCTCAGTTATGACTAAACTGGATAGCTAAGTTCTGGAAATCATGTCTCATTTTTGTATCCTTAAGGATACGATGGCACGAAGACCTGCTGATCCTGAAGAAGAACTCCGGTGGATGTCTCAAGAAGTTCGTGGTTATGTTGAAGCAGTTTTGAACAGTTTGGCAGCTAATGTGCCCAAGGTAAGGTTGTGATATAGAAGCTGAGCTTTTTCATTACTGCTTTTACGGCAATTAAAACTCGGTTATATGCTCCCTCAAAAAAAAAAAAAAAACAAACAAACAAAAAACAAAACTTTAATACGTTTTTGTGGTTCATTGGTTGAGCAGGCTGTCGTTCTCTGTCAAGTTGAAAAAGCAAAAGAAGACATGCTAAACCAGTTATATAGCTCTATCAGGTTTGACAGTTTTCTTAGCTCTTTTATTGTTTACGTTTGTAATATCAGGGCTTCTCTGTGTGTGTGTGTGTGTGTGTGTGTTTGTTTGTTTTATACTTCCAGGTATTTACAGTGATGCTGGTTGCTTACATAATGTAACATATAATGTCTCCATGTAGTGCTCAAAGTACGGCAAGAATTGAAGAGTTACTTCAAGAGGACCATAATGTAAAACGCCGCAGAGAACGCTACCAGAAGCAATCCTCTCTCCTTTCCAAGCTAACTCGTCAACTCAGCATTCACGACAACAGAGCAGCTGCCGCCTCCAGCTGGTCCAATGATGGTGGTAGTAGTGTCGGTATGTTGTTAAAAGCTATTCTCAGTTTTACTCATTCTGTTCCAGCAGATCTAGTCCTCTTTTCCCCTCAGACTTGATAATAAGGAAATGTTAGTTTATGTAGTGTGGTGAAGAAGTTACTTCCAACTAAACTTTGCCTCGTGACATTTCATGTTCTCAACTTGCAGAAAGTAGCCCAAGAACTAGTGCTCCATCTGGTGATGACTGGAGATCTGCATTTGATGCTGCTGCCAATGGCCCGGTCAACCACTATGGAGATTACTCTAGATCCTCATCCAATGGTCACAGTCGACATAACAGTGATCCAGCACAGAATGGCGATGTGAACTCGGGGCCAAACTCTGGCAGCCGTCGTACTCCCAATAGGTTGCCACCGCCACCACCGCAATCCGGTTCTTCAGGGTACAAATTTTTTTAGGTGGGTGACTGATATTCTATTGACAATTCATGTTTTCAGTGCATTCTTGGTGGGTGAGATCGCTCAGCACCGCATCATATGATTTTTCCTGTAGAATCTTTAGAAGAGGAGAGAAAAAACGGTGGTGTACATAAAAAACTTGAAAAAGTTGCTGGGTATCAGGATCTTATGGTGTCTGTAACGAGGATGGATTCAAGGCATACTTGAAATCCATTATGATCTATATTTCTCTATTCAATTTTTCTCGTTTACCTAGAAATTTTTATTTTTTATTTTTTTACTTCTCTTTTCTCTGCTCATTTTTGGACGCTATAGATGTATCTTCGTGTATTGATTTTGATTTTATATGTACGTTCAGGCTTTGATGGCTCTGTAACAGTTGGATACTCTTGTTTGAAATTGAGAGGATGGATATATCTTATATTTCTCAATGTGATATATTTCTCTTCCAAGTACTCAACCCTTTTAAATTGGGCTACTCGATGCCATATGGTCATGGATTGTAGTGATTCTTGTGTTTGTTCGTTTCGGGATTTAGGCTATGACTCTTCGTGTGTAAAGAGCTCTTCTATTTTTGTGGCAGAGATAAGATGAAATAGACGTTCATGGAATTTTTTGCACTTTGGTAAGATGACTTGTCTATTGGACTTTGCTTTTCAAGTTTGACCTTGTTCAAATTGATTTGATTTTTTTGCCTTTTGTGGTGTATGAAGCTAGAAATTTATGTTCGAGTGGAAATAAAATGTTGGAGTAGAAAACCTTTGGGAAACGGAATCGTATACATTATCTCGAATAACTGATCTGCAAATGTAAAATAATAAGGATATAACCCTCATCGTGCATCTTGATACATTTAATCATTTTTTTTTTCTTTTCTTTTGTAGACTCCAATGTTAAGTTTTAGAAGCATAGTTCCTGTCATTCCATGAATTTTCCTAGATATTCATTTCTTGAATAGAATTTTTTTTTTTTCAGAAATAGTAGGAAATATGTCAATATGAAAAGTTTAAGAAAGTATATAGGCTAATTTTTAGTTATAGAAATTAATAGGCCATAACTTGTCAAGTTATGAACAAATTTTTCAACTTATGGTTCATAACCAGATAAGTTATGGACAAATTTGTCAAGTTATAGTTCATAACCAGATAAGTTATGGACAATAACTTGTCAAGTTATGGACGAAAACAGTAATTTGACCTATTTATTAACTTATGTAAACTATTGACATTAATTTTAATTCATCTCAAGTCTTGACTTATTTTCCTCTTTCTCCCATTTTTTTTTTTTTGTACTGAAAAATAGATCTAGTGGTGCACTTCATGTCCCTTAGCTCCTTGGGCTATAGAAGTAATCCCGGAAACCACCGAGTATGTGGAAAGAGCCTGAACTAGTCTTTAATTGACCATCCAATCAGTTTTCACTCCCTTCCATCTTGTGAGGCCCGCATAAGCCCACTTAATTTCCCACAAGGGGCAGAGTAGCAATGCGCAGGTGCGGAGTATCAAACCCTGAGAGGATGGGCAAAAGTGACCTAACAAAAGCGTCATTACCACTACACCATGACTCTCGGTGGTTCTTGTATATCATTTAAGAAGGATGAAAAGAGCCCCTGAAACAGAGCTGTAGAATCAAAAGGTGGGATGTTTACTTCTTTCTGGGGTCACAAATTCTTCCAAAAATCTCGTTTTGTAACCAATAGCCCGTGAGAATAAGCAAAGAATCAAGTTACAGATCAAAAGAAAATGAAAAAGACAAGGGGAAAAAAAAAGCGGTTTGCTGTTACTGTGATAATCTAAACAAAGTAGAGCAACAGACTCAGAAATAGGGAAAACATTTTTTTGCAAGCCTTGCGTGCATTAACAGATGAGTCTGTCTTCTCTAGGAAACTAATCCCGAATTGTGATATTCAACCTCCGGAGCCAATTAGAGTGAAGAATCATGTGAAAGACGTCAAATCTCTTGGGGGTTCCATTGGCCACAAAGTGCTTTTGGACTTGTTTCACTCTCCTATGCATTCTCAAGTACTGAGTTCTGAGATATTCCCATTAGTATTGTTTTAATATTTGGTATGTCCTCCACCTTCACTTGCACAGAAAATAACTTCCAATTGAGAACATCATTGAAAGGAGGAACGTAACCATCTGAGATCAACGCGTAGATGGCTTCCACCACTCTAGGGCTACCCACTTCATAGCCACTGGGGCACAGGCAATATTTGCTTTTCTTAAGCATTAGTTCGTAAGACACACCTCATTGGGAAGTTGGTCATAGACTCGCACATCTTGGTCTTTCTCCTTCCATTGTTTGAGAAGTAGGTGCCGTATGTGGCCGTGTAGATGCCCTGTGAAGAAGGCTAGAATGGACCGACGAGATGGGGAGAGACCGCCAATTAGTCCTTTTATTTCTCCTGTTCGGAGATGGATCTCCGGGAACGAGACGTCCTTAGAAGGGTTGAAGCCTTTGGAGGTGTTGGCATTGCATAGAACTCTTATGGACTTGCTGCATAGATGAGGAACGTATGAGGATGAGTGCGGCCCCTGCAAAATCATGCAAAGCGAGTTCAATTCATTCACATCAATACAAAGAGTGCTTTAACATTTTTAGCACTATACTCGTCACTACAATAGAATTTAACTATCACACAGTAAAGATTAAAAGAGGTGGATCCCAATTTACAATGTCGCAGTTTTGATGTACTTCCATACGTATATGATGTACTTCTATACGTATATGATGATTGCATTACTGGTGGACACAAATAACATTTTTACAATATCACAAGTGTTGCTTTTCATCGTCATCAATTATGACATGCAGGACCCTAAAAATAGAAATGTGCACAAGATAAAAATTAAAATTATTAGGTCCTACAATGTTATTCGATAATTTTTATGCACATACACATATGTGGTGATTAAATCACTATGTGATATTTTGATAATAGTTTGGGCCGGCTTTGTCTCTATAGTTATTAGTTGTTACCCAATCATGGCAAGAAAGCATGAAATGGTCGGCACCAAAGCTTCGGCTCCAAAAAGGATGCTTGGCAGAGATGACATTGACATTGATTAAATTGCCAATTTTGTTTCCAGTTTCTTCAATTTTCTCTCTCTCCTTTTCACTACTTTCTCTTGCTTCCCACCTCCCTATATATACACACACACACACACACATATTATATATATAAATAAATATGTATATATAGTCCAATACCAAGAGAGTCATGAGAATATGTGTACGCACACATGCATGCATGGATGAAATGAACACATTGGAATATTATCACAAATTGGTAACTCTTCTTGCAAAGAGATATAACAATATGATAATAGTAATATGAATGTATATGTATGTGTGTATATATATACATACACACGTAATGCTTACCAGTTGAGGTGGCTGGGCTGTTTCATTAGGTATTGAAACATTAGGAAATAATAATGGAGCTTCTGCTGCTTGCGCTTCAAAATATTTATAAGGAGGAGCATTTTGTGACGTTGATGAGAAAAGTTCTAGTTGTGAAGAAAAGGAAGTACTCGAGACGCTGCCAAATCTCCATGACCATGAAATACAACTAAATACAATCAAGACCATAAACAAAGGAACCAGTAAAATCAATACAACCAAAAATGTTGAAGATGACAAGCATGAAGGCATCAAACATTTAGAATATGGCTTCTTGGAATTACGCCACATAGCTACCTTCAGAATCATGTGATCTGATCTCTTCTCTCTCCCCCACAAAAAAAAAAAAAAAAAAAAAAAAAAAAAAAACACTTGCACTAATAAAAAGTGTTGAGAAATTGTTACTTTTTTTTTTTTTTTTCTGGGACAGGATTCATTTCTTGGAATTCTAGTTATTCCTTGCTGCTCATGAGGGTCATATCACTACCAGAAAAGAGAACTAATAAAATAAAGGAAGTAAATTAACAAATGAACGAAACTACCCAATTACCACTATATAATAAGAAACTTACTAAAAATAGTTTTAGGAGACTTGTAATAATTATATTAGGAAAAAAAGAACAACTAAATACTACTTTCTATTTATGTTCTTGTTTCACTTAGTTGTAATTAATGATCAAAGGCTTAAGAGGCAAGTTGTCCAATCGAGTCATGAAACAATTAGTAGAACTTAGAAGGAAGCTTTTCCATTTTCCCAAGAGATTCTCTAGAATTAATCAAATCTTATATATTTTGCTCTTAAATTTCATCATGATTTGACGAGATATGAAAGTAAATAAAATTAATTTTCGAAAAACTAACCAGTACATCTCCATACAACAATACACACAAACGCACGTATAATTGTGGGAGGGGTAAAAAAGACGTCAAAATCCATACAAAACAGAACCACGAGGTAGCAACTAGCCTATCCCATATTCTTATTTCTTGGATATAAGAACATTAGGAAAAATCCCCCAAAAGTCGAAATGAATATATAATAATAATAATAATTAATAACAATAATAATAATAATTAATAATAATAGTAATGAATAAATGAACCAATGTCGTTATGCCCATTGACGTGATCTAACCGTCACCGTCCCTATCACGGTCACGTGCACAATGCATGTATGTTTCATTCATATGCGCGACGATAATAAATTTTGTAGTTTCTTATGTGCTACGCAAACAGCAAAATATCCAAAGCTGACCGCAAGAAATATTGAAGTGGATCAAATGGAATTATGTCATCCATCAACGCATAGACATTGATCCGATATTGGAGGACTATGAATTATGATTAAGCGTAAGCAAATTATCCAAATTGCATCTAGCCAATGACATTTTGTATGAGCTTATAAACTATGTATATCATATCCTGATATCCATATAGAATTTATATTGTACCATTTCTCATGATTATTGAAGATGTTTGAGCATGAACATATTTGAGAAAAAATATTATATATATATATATATATATATATAACCCAAGCAAGCATGGTGTGGTGAAGTACAAAAGAAACAATACCATTCAAAAAATTGAAAAATTTTGAGAAAATTTGTTTCAGTGAGCTAATTATTCAACAAGTATTTATATCTTATGGTTGTATTTTAGAAATAAACATTTTATAAGATTGCATGAGAAAAATCTATTTTTTTTAACCGCAAGAGCGAGTCTCTATTGAGAGAATACTAAAGTCGAGACATAAAATTTGGTCCAAATATTCATTCCCATTTCCTCAAAAGAGCACGAAATCAAATTTCACAATACCTTTTTGGTATGCAGTCTATTTGGTAGTTTATTTTTTTGGTACCTATTAGAGAAATTTCCTCTTCTTTTTCTTTTTCCTCCTCTCGTTTGCTTCTTTTCCATCCAATCGTTTGTATGTCTGTTGAATGTAATGTAGGTCCTTATCAATATTTCTTCGTCTTCTCTGTGTCGTCTTGCTTTTTTTGAACTCATATTTTTGGTACTATATTTTTCACAACTTTGAGATGTAGAAACTTTTTTGCTTATAAAGTCCTCTAATATTACAAGTGCTCAGCAAGCGAGAACTTAAAAGTGACAACCAAAAAGAAATAAACAAATAAACCTTTTTTCATTAGACTAATTATATAATATCCTAAGGGAATTCCTTTTTCACAGGTGGAAACTAGTGTTTTAGTTGTTAGATTGATTTTTAAGTGGTCTGATCAATGTATATATTAAAAAATTACACAACTTTAATGAAACTCTTCTTCAAAAACAAACAAAAAATGATATCTACGTCTTATAATACTGTATTATTTTTGCTTTTTTATTTGGTTGCACCGTCAATCTAAATGAGAATCGTTTGTTGCACTCAATCTTCTTTGAACTTTTTTTTTTTTTTAATATTTGAAACAAATTAAAAAGCACCAAATTGCAAAAAATATGTAGAAAGGGTTTACTTAAGGGACAACCTTCACCCCTGGCTCTAAAAAAGACAGAAACAGACGTTCTTAAAATAAACGGTGAAATCTACTTTCATGGACTTTTCCTCATTAACCAGTAACCACAATCCTACACTAGAATCTTATTATACCTGCATATTCGATCTTTTTAATGAAAATGAAAATGAAAATGCAAATGGAAATGATGTAATTTATATTGACAGAATGAAGAAGATAAGGATACAACTCAAGAGTAAGAAAAACCAGGAAGAGCTAATCCAACAAAATTTCTTCCAGGAATTGGAATGGCAATTGTTTGTTCTCTCAGCACTCAATGCCTTATAAACACTAGCCGCAACATCTATAAAAAGCCTCACAACTGCCAACGATGAAAAAATTAAACAAACAATAAATATTATTATGTTCTTATTCTCTATTGACATCTGCTTCTCCCGCACCTTTTCAACCTCGTATCTGCAACCAAATAGAATATATCATGATGACCACTTAAAAAGGCTATAAACCAAAGAGAATGCATTTTTCTATTTTTTTATAGCATTCTTTTTCTTTTTCTTTTTTAATTTTTATGTTGTAGAGAGCCATTTTCACAAGTTATTGACTTTGCACTAGCAAATTGCCCAAAAGAAATCCTCCTAAAATCAGATTGAAGATACCATGATATAAAAACTTGAAGTCATTTTAAGCAAAATTACCTGAGAATGGCATTGTCCCGGACTATATTATCCATCTGGAAGGAGACGAGGGACTTCCAAGAAGTAAGATCATCAACATCTTTAGCCTGCAAGGACAACAAAAAAGTTAGTGGACGAGATATATATTTAGTATCATCGACTTTTATCAAAATGATAAGATGATCGCAATTCTACAAGGCAAGAGTGTTTCACATACTATGATCCTGCGGCTCTCAAGGAGATCCCTTATGTCCGTTCTGATATTCTCTAAAAGTACATCTTTATCTCCTATATCTTTGTCAATTTCTTTAAAGATATTGCCGTATTTGGAAGTCAGTTCCTCGAGGTATCGCTCCAAAACTGATAAATTTAGATCCAAAGAGCGAACTTTCTGCACAAGTATTTTGAGAACTGCATCCCCAGGCATCCTTCCAGTTTGTTGATGACGTACTTCTTCGATAGGATCAGGCACATTGCTCTTCATAATTTCAGTTTGAGAACTAGTTTCTTTATCCATATGTTGATCAAGATCATACCCCGCAAGGGTCTCCGGCTGGGACAAAAGAGGTTTCTGGTCAGCAGTTGCTCCCTCAGACACAGACACGGACACACTACCTTCCACAAATATCAAATCTTCAAGCATTCGCTCAACGGCATCCACTCCATACACCTCAATAACACTCAGTGTACAATAGAATTCTGAACCATAGTGGCTTAGAAGATTCAACTTTAGATATCTCACCCATTTGGGCTCTGAAAGAACAAATCTCTGTGCTAGCTTGACATTATTAGCTCTGAACTCTCCAAGTTTGACCCATTCATCTGTCGGATAAACTAAACTGCCAAGCAGCTCAAAATCTTTTAAATTTGAAGAATAATGCTCAAAATTAGCAATCTCAATAGAGTCCACTAATGTTTCTTCCGAAAGTTCTATGACAACGAATTTTTCTTCTGCAGAACAAGGATTTCGAAGGTACTTGTCTTCATCTTTACCTAATATATTTGAGGCACCCTTGGCTTCCTTGTTAAAAGCCAAGACTTTAGCTCCCTTTGATGCTGAAGCATAATTGTATTCTTTGCCTCCAGGCTCCACTCTATGCTTTATACCTCCAGCCTGACCGTTGCCAGATTTACTTTTGGAATTGTATGTTTTACTCTTGAATTCATCAAGACCAAGTGGAACAGCGCGAGAGAGACGGTCTGTTTTGCGCACATCACCATCAAGCTTCGCGCCTGCACTACTAGAATTATTCCCCTCAGGTTGCTGACCAGTGACAGAAACGCCATTTATGCTTCCTTCAGCGGGGACATGATCTTGATATCCGCCATTTGTGCTTCCTTCAGATGGAACATGATCTATATATTCTTCAGTATCTTGTGCTTCACTCGATTTGCTTGATGTATCACCATTTCTGTATGGAGCCTCAGAGGAATGAATCGGATCAGTATTTTCAATTAGATGTTTATCAACAGAATCCGACTGTTTTCCACATTGCAGCTTAGCTTCTTCCCAAGTTGATAGGCCAATTGAAGCTACCACAGCTTTATCTAAATCTGATAAATGAATAGATCAAACCCAAATAAGCAGCATTCATGCACGTACAAAGTTCAACAGTTATAAAAAATAACCCAGTGTAAATTAATATGTGAGTCATGCCTTTGAAAAGCAAGTATAATAGGGAGAGATCATGTTTATGTCCAGAAATTCTTCCGGAGCAGCTTTTAGAAATGGGTTTATCCTTTTCTGCATTCCCCCCTTTTTTCCCTCTTTGTTTTGTTTACAGGTAATAGTAAGAACTGTGGAGACAGACTCTCGAGACGAAGGAATTTAAGTTAAGTAGGACGAAAACTGAATACATGCATTGTATGTTTAGTAACTTAAGTAATCAGAGTGATGGAATTTCTTTAGATGGTGTGGAGATTGAGACTTCTAGGAAGTTTAGGTACCTTGGGTCTATAGTGCAGTATAAAGGAGATATAGAAGAAGATATTTAACATATGATTAAGGCAAGGTGGGTTAAGTGGAAGAATGCTACGGGAGTTTTATGTGATAGCAAGATGCCTATTACATAAATCTAAGATGTTGGGCCATTAAGAGACAACATATATCTTAGATGAGTGTGACAGAAATGCGTATGTTAAGATGGATGAGTGGCCATACGAGAATGGATCGCATAAGGAATGAAGTTATTCGTAGTAAAGTAGGTGTAGCACTAATAGAAGATAAGGTGCGCGAATGCCGCTTGAGGTGGTTTGGGCATGTCCAACATAGACCGCTAGAAGCACCAGTTCGTGCTTGGGAGGACATTCTTATACCTAATACTAGGAGAGGGAGGGGTAGACCAAGAATTATGTGGACCAAAGTCGTTAGGAAAGATATTCTAGATCTAGGCCTTCAGAAAAGTTTAATTTCGAACAGAACCGTGTGGAAAAGTGAAATCCATATAGCCGACTCCAATTAAGTTAGGATTAAGGGTTGTTGTTTTGTTTACAGGTGATACTCATCACACGTTGACACCACTCTCCGGGAAAATTTGTTAAACACGTCTTCCACGAAAGAAAAATGTCGTTCCTACTCGAAGAATAGAAAAAGACCTAGTCTAAGACCTCGCTAAGAAAATACTCACCTAAATGCATAAGAAGATAATTGTGATCAAATGCATCTACTGCTATTTTTCAAAAACTTAATGCCTCACAAAGAAAATTCAGTCCAAGGATTACCTTTATGACCGTCACCACGACTAATCCATAAGCTGAAGAGGAACACGAGCCCCCACAAAACAAAAACCAAAGACAAAGAGACCTTATACAAGTGACTCTTTCCGGTGATGGTCTTCTCCAAAGCTCTTCTTTCCAGAAGAGCTTTACGTGACCGCTGCATTGCGCATCAATTCAGTCTACCGTGAACTGCAGATAAACAAGCCTGCACACAATAGCAGCAGCAAAACAATTCAAGGATTTGCTTATACTTTTACTTCCATTGTTCAAAGCGAAATGAAAAAAATAATATTAATATAAACCACACTCCATGACAGAAAGATATTATTGAATTAAAAAATAAGCTACATTTTCATAATTAATTGAACGAATCCAAAATAATTCATGGACTCGATTTTATTTCCATTGTCCAAAGCCAAAGAGACAAGAAAATCAAATAATATAAAGCACACCCCATGACAAGTAGATAATACTAAATCAAAAAAGAAGCTAAATTGTTATAATCGAATCCCACCTCCAAAGTCAATCAAGCGGCATTATTGAGGTAATCAAAAAGTTAAAACGTATAACTTGCAGATTCAGCTATATACTTCTAGAATTGAAAAGAAGGTGTATAAATTTCAGTAGAAGAGCAACAGAAAGTATGTAAATTCTTGATGAAGCTAAATACCCACGATTTTTTTTGTCCATTTTCTTATGATCCAAAAGAAAAAGTGGGAAATTTAAAAAACACACAAACAAAATGAAAAGTACCATAACAGCTGTTACATGTTGATTACCCAATTCAGAGATATCCCCCCAATAAAACTGAGAAGAGTATCTTCTAAACAAAAAAAGTGTAAATTTAACTTAACAGTCAAGCATTAAAAAAAAAATCGACTTTTAGACCTGAAATGAATCGACTGGTTCACCAGAAATCACAAAGTAAAATTCAAGTATAAGTTTATTGGTTGTGCATATGATAAAATCCCCGTATTAAAAAAAGGATATTATTGGAATTCAGGATCCAAAAATCCGAGCTTGATTTTAAAATTTTGAAAAGAAAATAATAAGAAGACTTGATTGAAAAACAAAAACAAATGGATTGGAAGAGAGGAAAAGGCCGAAGCTCAGACCTGGAAAATGTAATATGACCAAAATTTAGAGGTTAGAATTTGGAGATCGGAGAAGAGACTAGAGAGAGCGTAGAAGAAGGGGAAATTGCGCGTCGCTCACCAGTGAATTTGACGTCGTCTTCTTCCTTAATAGTAACATATTTCTGTTTCTGTCGTTTTCTGTCAATTTGTAACGGCTTCGCTTTCGCCGAATGTATGCTCTCTCTCTCTCTCTCTCTCTCTCTCTCTCTCTGTTTCTCTCTCTTAAATTATGTTTCTCTCTCTAGAGGATGATTAATAAAGTTTCATTGAAGATTTGAATATGCTCTCTTGTGCGGTCCTCTGTTTTTGTTTTTGTTTTTTTTACTGGCTCTCTGTTCTTCTCTCCCAAGCTTTCACCTTTTTGGGGCAGCTCGCCTAAAACAGGGGATGATGGATACAGTTCATACAAGAGCTAGTTATTTTTTTTTATTTTTCCTTTTTTTCCCAAAACATTTCATCCTTAATAAACAACTGTTTAATTTTCAATTTTGTTTTTAAATAATTTTTATATGACTTATCTGTCTAAAATTACATAATTATCAATAAAAATATAATTCTTAAAGATAATTCCTCCTTATCTATAAAACAAAGCAATTATCAAAATGTGCCAAGTGCCACTTGTTGCTTAGAAAATACACTAATTAAGAATATTCTATACTTGTGTAGTTGCTTTGGGTAGCTTATCTTATAAATTATGGGATTTCTTTCCATGAATGTTATATAATTTGAAATTGGAAACTTTAGACTTAAAAAGAAAAACTTGTATAATTTTTTTTTTTTAAAAAAAACGCTTCTTACAACTATTTATAGGCATAATATTCTTAGAAATCCAAATATAATGCTAAATTGCAGCTGCAATTATGATTTTAAACCCAAAAAATTATCCTTCACTTTTTTGAAAGGAAAAATTACATTTAATTAAAATACTAACAAATAATCGTCTTAATATAATATTAATCCATCAGAAAGATAAACACATGCCTGAGATCCGAAACTGAAAAAGCATCTCGGCACACTAATAACGAATGGACTGAAAGAAACATAAGTTGTCGAGCGTTAGAAGGACAGATCTTCAAAACCCACATAAAAGGGGCATTTACATGGCATAGAAAAAATTCTAACCGGACAAAGACCACCCTATCAGCATTAAGCCGAACACTTAAATCTAATAAAAATCAACAAATCAGATGAGAGTCGAGTGGGGATACCACCAACCTTATTACAAACTAAAAAGTTACAAAAAGAGAAAAACCTCCGGCCACTGCTGGTAGAAACCTTTGGTGAAGGGCGTCCAGCCAAAGGACTATCGAAGAAGACAGCTAGTGAAGAGATCTCAACCACTAAACAGAAAACTCTCTTGAGAAAGGAAATCGTCCATTCGGCTTCCAAGCTCTTAACTAGCTCAAATATGTCCAAACGGAGCCACCACACCGTATACTACCACCACCAACGAGAATCTCATGACAAGACGAGTCGGATGATCAAATTTCACGGCCAAGAGTCCGACAAGACACCCAAAAATATTATCAGAACTCCGACCAATCTCTGCTCTCTAAGAACCTTCTCTTAACCAATTAATAGTGATGATATGGGAAAAGCATTTAAGATTAGATTTCACTTCTGTTCACCTCTTTTTACCTTTAAAAGATTAAAAATTAAATTAAAAAATCAGCTATGTAGTGTATGAATACAATAAAATGTTGTGCATATATTATCATCACACCTTTCAAGCAAAAAAAAAAAAAAAATTATAGTCTATGCTTTTATATCATATATTATTATGCAGGAGCAATTAACATGAGTAATGTCCTATTGCCAATTATACTACAACCAAACATAGATATATACGTACCAATAACTACTTATGTGTCACACAAACACATCAGTTATTACTCGTTTAGTTCGTTAATTTAAATTAAGATGTGATATTATGTGAGAATTTTTTACTATAATAAAAAAATTAAATGTGACTATTTATAAAAAATTTTTACTGTAATAAAATTTAAATTTTAAACTCGAATTAAAAAAATAAATGGGACCTTTTTTTTTAAATGGAAGAGCCAACGGAATTTAAATAAAAATGGAGGTGAGATTAATATGATGGTGTGGGGAGTGCAGTGTGCAGCTTTCCAATAGGATCCAGGGAGACAAGTCGGTGGAGATGACGTGGAAAGGCGTGATTGGGCCAGAATTCTAACACTTACGTGGGAACAACAAAACAAACACCCAATTATAAAAAAAAAACAAACACCCACCAAGCTGTCACCACGTGTTCAACCTCGCCGACTCCATTCTGACCCTCTTAATTAATATACATATTTAAAATTTATTAAATTAATAGTAAAATATTCTTCATCTTCTTTCCTTGCTTTTTTGAAAGTTGACATTTTTAATTTTTTTTTATTTTGGTTTTTGTTTACACCTCTGATTCTGACTCTGCTTGAGAGCCACTTGGTCGCCGCTCTAACGCCGATTCTTTCTCTCTACGGCCACGACTGTATATCACAAGCTTTCAAGAGGTAATTTTTATTTACCTTTTTCATAATCGTCAAGAGGTAAATTTTGTTACTCTCTCTCTAATCAGATCATACTCTTGATTGTTGATTCCTAATTTACTCTGGCTGTTCACCGTGAAAACGGGGACGTAATTTGGGAATTAGCTCAAAAAGAACATTAATGGGAAATTTAAATCTCATTTTCCTTTCCATTTATCTCTAGCTCCTTATATGTATATTACATCCGTTTTTTCCCTTTTGCAGAAGATTGCTATTCCTTGTACTAGATGGATTATTATCCTATAAACTTGTAAAAACCTTTCTAGAGAAATGGAAATCACCAAACATATTTTAGCAAGTGTCTCTCTAGTTTGTTTGTTTGTTTGTTTGTTTCTTCTGTGTACTAATAGGTTGATGTTTCCGGTACTAAACCAAACAACAGATGTCATTGCACTGATTGGTATATTGTAGATGATGATGATGTTATAATGAAAATGGAAACAGACAATGAAAGAGAAAAATTTAGTAAAGTAGAGCCTTCTGTCCTACAATGGAGCCAATGGCAGTTGCTAGATTCAATTCTCCCAACTGGTGGATTCGCCCATTCACTCGGTCTAGAGTCATCAATCCAATCTCACCTAATCTCATCCCATGAAGACCTCCAAACATTCACAATCCACCTCCTCCACAACACCGGAAGCCTTCTCCTTCCCTACGTCTACGCCGCAGCCACATCGCCCGACACCGCGACGTGGCGCAGGCTAGACAAGGCGCTGGACGCCACACTGACGAATGAGGTGGCCCGCAAGGCCTCAATCGCGCAAGGCTCAGCCCTCATGAGGGTGGCGGCCGCCGTGTTCGCAGACACCGAGCCTTGCATAAAGGCCATGAGGGATTCATGCTTGGGGGGGTCACGTATGAATTTTCACCATGCTCCTGTGTTTGGGTTGGTTTGTGGGCTGCTTGGGATGGATAGTGCAACTGCTCAGAGGGGTTACATGTTTATCACAATGAGAGATGTGATTTCTGCTGCAACTAGGCTTAACTTGGTGGGGCCCTTGGGTGCTGCTGTGATGCAGCATAGGATTGCACTACTTGCTGAGGAAATTGTGATCAAATGGATGGATCGTTCGGTTGAAGATGCTTGCCAGGTTGCTCCTCTGCTTGATACCGTCCAGGGTTGCCATGCCTATTTGTTTTCTAGGCTTTTTTGTTCTTGAGAAATATTATTCTAGATAAATCATATTTATCCGTTGGTGTATCTGATTTTTTTTTTTTTTTAGTTTATTGTCAAGTTATAGTTTAATTTTACCGACACGTGTGACAATGCATTACCAGACAGCGGGGCTTAGTATTCTAAGGCGTTTTTTTTTTTTTTTTTTTTTTTTTTTTTTTTTTTTTTTTTTTGGTGAATGGAACTAGCTTCCAACTTATTCTAATTTGTGGAAGAAATAATGGAACTTGACTTGTTTCATTTGTTGTTGGCGAGAGAGAGGCCACTTATATAATGAGGTGATGATGCCAGTTCAGAATTCAGATAGAAGATTTATGATTCCAACTTTCTGTGTAGTACAACTCTGTTGAATGGTTTTCCGTCCTCTGGTATCAATTATGATTTGGATGTGTGAATTTAGATTGGTATTTGAGAACTTATTATTCTAGAGATTTTAATGGTATTGGTGATAATTACTGGATGCCGAGACTGTAAGGATTTGGGTTTGGTGATGATTACTAGATGTTGAGACTCTGCAAGGATATTGGTAAATGGACCTGTCAAGGTATTTTCTTATTATCCCTGTTACGGTACGGTTCCGTGGTATTTTCTTATTGTGGAAGCTGTGACTATCTCTGTAATGATATGATTTTAAGATAAGCTTCTGCTTTTTGCTATTCATGCATAAGAATTTTAGTGGTGTCCCAATACCATTGGAGAGTTGGAGATATCTTGTCATTGTCATACTATCGTTTCAAATAGTTTCCGAGTGTCCGGGCACTAGTGGCGTCCTGTTTTCCTCCTTGTTGGTTTTCTTTCGCAGATCGGCCTCTATGGATCCGTTGCCGCTGCATCAGCCGGTGTCAAAAGCTATTCTTCTGCGGAGCCAAGTGTGTTTGGATGTCTTTGGTTTGCTTATGGGAAGCTTCGGCTCAAGGTCATGCACTCTTTTTGCTTGCATGGATTTTTTTCGCACTGGGTTTTTTCCATGCAAGTTTTAATGAGGCCTCCTACTTGGAGTAGATCTTGTGGCTTTCCATCCCAATAGGGTTTAACTAAATTTAACTTTCATGTTGTTGGATTGTGTGTTTCTGTTTTACCTTTTGACTAATTTGTGTGAATTTGTCTTCTTTTGAATATATAGAGTGGAAGGCTTGGTGTGTGATTGGGTCTCTAATAGGTGTCAACTTAATTAGAATGTGTTAAGAGTTCCTTGATGCTAATTACCCTTTCTCGTCATTTATCATAATTCTATACTGCTACCACTGTCATTCCATAATATGTTTGACAACAATTTCTTTGCTAAAAAGAAAAGAAAAATGAAAACGAAAGTCTCTTAGTCCCAACTCAATTATTTGAGTACCTGTAGTCTACCTGAATAAAGGCGTCTTGAATGGTGAGAAAATATGTGCTATCTTATTTATAAGATGTATTGTTTGACTAGTTATTTGTCGTTTTAAACTCTCGCAATTTAACACTTTCAACCTGTTTTTTATTTTTTGGTTATTTTTTTTGGAAATGGTTTATTATTTTCAACTTTTTATTATAATTAGTATATTATATGATTCATATATTAATTATTACTTATTTATTTAATAATATATTATATGTTATTCCATTATTACTATATTATATAACCAATTTTTACCAATTAATTTTTAACTAAATAACAAATTACTATTTATTTTCTATTTTCTATTTTTTATTAATAAATTACAAACTTAATAATAAAAACTAATATTTATTTTTTAGTGATAGTGGTTTTTTGATTGTTTTTAATAATGTTTATTCATATCTTTTGAGACATGAAAACGAAAATGATTGCATACCATGATAAATAATAAATAATAATTAGTTTCTTATTATTAAAATTTGTAATTTATTAATAAAATAGAAAATAGAAAATAAATAGTAATTAGTTATTTAGTTAAAAATTAATTAGCAAAAATTGGTTATATAATATAGTAATAATGGAATAACATATAATATATTTTTGGGTTTGGTGATGATTACTAGATGTTGAGACTCTGCAAGGATATTGGTAAATGGACCTGTCAAGGTATTTTCTTATTATCCCTGTTACGGTACGGTTCCGTGGTATTTTCTTATTGTGGAAGCTGTGACTATCTCTGTAATGATATGATTTTAAGATAAGCTTCTGCTTTTTGCTATTCATGCATAAGAATTTTAGTGGTGTCCCAATACCATTGGAGAGTTGGAGATATCTTGTCATTGTCATACTATCGTTTCAAATAGTTTCCGAGTGTCCGGGCACTAGTGGCGTCCTGTTTTCCTCCTTGTTGGTTTTCTTTCGCAGATCGGCCTCTATGGATCCGTTGCCGCTGCATCAGCCGGTGTCAAAAGCTATTCTTCTGCGGAGCCAAGTGTGTTTGGATGTCTTTGGTTTGCTTATGGGAAGCTTCGGCTCAAGGTCATGCACTCTTTTTGCTTGCATGGATTTTTTTCGCACTGGGTTTTTTCCATGCAAGTTTTAATGAGGCCTCCTACTTGGAGTAGATCTTGTGGCTTTCCATCCCAATAGGGTTTAACTAAATTTAACTTTCATGTTGTTGGATTGTGTGTTTCTGTTTTACCTTTTGACTAATTTGTGTGAATTTGTCTTCTTTTGAATATATAGAGTGGAAGGCTTGGTGTGTGATTGGGTCTCTAATAGGTGTCAACTTAATTAGAATGTGTTAAGAGTTCCTTGATGCTAATTACCCTTTCTCGTCATTTATCATAATTCTATACTGCTACCACTGTCATTCCATAATATGTTTGACAACAATTTCTTTGCTAAAAAGAAAAGAAAAATGAAAACGAAAGTCTCTTAGTCCCAACTCAATTATTTGAGTACCTGTAGTCTACCTGAATAAAGGCGTCTTGAATGGTGAGAAAATATGTGCTATCTTATTTATAAGATGTATTGTTTGACTAGTTATTTGTCGTTTTAAACTCTCGCAATTTAACACTTTCAACCTGTTTTTTATTTTTTGGTTATTTTTTTTGGAAATGGTTTATTATTTTCAACTTTTTATTATAATTAGTATATTATATGATTCATATATTAATTATTACTTATTTATTTAATAATATATTATATGTTATTCCATTATTACTATATTATATAACCAATTTTTACCAATTAATTTTTAACTAAATAACAAATTACTATTTATTTTCTATTTTCTATTTTTTATTAATAAATTACAAACTTAATAATAAAAACTAATATTTATTTTTTAGTGATAGTGGTTTTTTGATTGTTTTTAATAATGTTTATTCATATCTTTTGAGACATGAAAACGAAAATGATTGCATACCATGATAAATAATAAATAATAATTAGTTTCTTATTATTAAAATTTGTAATTTATTAATAAAATAGAAAATAGAAAATAAATAGTAATTAGTTATTTAGTTAAAAATTAATTAGCAAAAATTGGTTATATAATATAGTAATAATGGAATAACATATAATATATTATTAAATAAATAAGTAATAATTAATAATTAATATATCAATTATATAATATACTAATCTAGCAATACATAAAAGAACTAAAGCTCTTTTTTATGGGGTTGCCACACTCACCTCTTTTTTTTTTTTTTTTAAAAAAAACTTTTTTATCTTTATTTTTTTGTGTTTTTTAAAAATATATTGTTCTCCACTTTACTTTTATGAGAGTAATTTTTTCTCATATGTTCCTATTTTATTTTTGATTGATTAAAATAATTTTATTCAAATGTGTACTTACTTAATTTTTTTTTTTGTCAATTGTGATCTTTACACATATTCCTTTTTAAAATAAATTCAAAAATCCTTAAATAGTTGTATAAATGAATTTCTCATTATTTGATAAACAATAAATTCTTAATATGTGCGGAGCACGTTACAAAACTAGTTATAATAAAAAGTTGAAAATAATAAACCATTTCCAAGAGGTAATTAAAAAATAAAAATCATGGTTGAAAGTGTCAAATTGTGAGAGTTCAAGATTTAAATGCTAAAAAATAAAGTTCAAGGTTGAAAGTGCAAAATTAAGATAGTTTAAGGTTTAAATTACCAAAAAATAAAGTTCAGGGTTGAAAGTGTCAAATTAAAAGAGTTCAAGGTTTAAATTACCAAAAAATAAAATTTAGGGTTGAAAGTGCCAAATTAAAAGAGTTCAGAGGTATAATGCCAATAACCCTTTCTATCTCTCATCATTAATGTATATTGATGTCGTTTTCTTCTTTTTATGTCGTTTTCGCTTTTTTATTTCACAATCTCATTCAAGACTCCGTCACTCTTCTCTCATTCTCTTCACTGTCGCATTTACCTCTACGAAAAAAACCCAAGACCAATCTCCACTCGCCGTCGCCGCCGTCGGCACGTCGCCTCCCACCACGCCATTCGCCGTCCGCTGGCGTTCCTTCTTCCCATTCGTCCGGCGTGCTTCTCTGAGGTTAGTTTCTTTTTTATTTTTCCCAAATCCCAATCTGTTTGGATGTTGTGAAAATGACTAAATGAGGAGGAAAATGAATAGGGAAGTGTTAGTTTTGTTGGATTGTGGAATTAAGATTTTAATTTTTAGGAGTATTGAGAAATTTCACAAGTTCGAAACTTTATCTGTTTTATCATTTTTTTTATATTAAAGTTTGTGTTAGTTCTCTGGTTAGTGATTGGGTGTTCATTGTTGGCTCGGTGTTCGTGGATAATATGACTTGGTTTAAGGTTGATGATTTGGAATTTGGATTTGAATTTGGTTTTAGGTTCATCTTCTTCAGACTTCAGCTCAGCGCCCCCTTCAATTCTTCTTCTTCTTCTTCAACCTCCATTAAAGCTTCTCAAACTTTCTCCCTCTAAAAACCATGACGCTTCCCATTAAAGCTTCTCAAACTTTCTCCCTCTAAAAACCATGACGCTTCCCATTAAAGCTTCTCACTTCTCTCTCTTCCTCACCTTCCTCTCCCGCAACTTCTCGTCGTCCAAAGCCAGAACCCTCCCAATAATCAAAGGCAACAACTACATTAGCTCCACTCAGTACAAAACCAGAGCTCTCAAACAAGCCCAGAATGTCTTGACCGAATATCTCCACGCCACCAGAGGCTTGCCCTTCATCTTCGCCGAGCAAATCTCCGCCAATTCTCTCTTCGCCATCTCCGAACTCATTCGCAAGATTCACTTCTCCGCTTTCACCTTCTCCGACGCCTTCAAAAGATTCCTCAGGTATCACCCCATTAACGAATTCGAATTTTTCCTCGAAAGCATTGGCATACATCGTGATGATGTTCATTTGTTTCTGCCGAAGAAGAAGTTTTTCTTCTCGGAGGATTCGACTGTTCTAGATGCTTCTTTGGCGCTTATTCAATTTGGGTTTCCGTGGAATAAGTTGGGGCTTCTGTATAGAGAGGAAGTTTCGATTTTTAGCATGTCTGGTAATGTTTTAACTGATAGGCTTAATGGGTTTAAAGAGAGGTTTGGGTTTGATAATCTTTGTGTGGTTGGTGTATGCTTGGCTTTCCCTTACTTGTTGAGTGTGGAAGGCAAATCAGGTGGTTGTATCGAGGCGGTTTTTGAGGATTTGGAAACGGTTTTTCGAGGATTTGAAATGGGAAGTTGTGTTGAGGGAAATGTGGATGCTTGGTATGAGCTTTGTTGTAAAGTTAGGGTGTTGTATGATTTAGGTTTTGAGAAGGGGAAGGTAGGGGAATTACTGTGTGATAGGAAACAAATTTTTCTTGAATGCCCAAAAGAGGTTTTAGTCCGAAAAGTGGACTACTTTGCAAAGTTCGGTGTTGGAAAGGATGATGTGCTGTTGTTTCTTCTTGAGAATCGAGAAATTTTGAATCTTGATTTCGAAACGCGGGTGATATCGGTGTTGGGATTGCTCAAACATTTTGGAATTGGCACAAAAGAGTTGCAGAGTGTTAGTGAGAAGTATCCTCATGTGTTGGGGAGAAACAAAATGGAAAATTTTCCTTATGTAATGAAGGCTTTGGATCTGCATGAATGGTGCTTCGACAAGATTAGGAGTTCAAATGGTCAGATATTGGCAATGTATTCCATTGATTGCCCTGATGAAGATATGAATAAGGAGTTTTCAGATGGCCTGAAGAAAATCGAATCTTCAAAGTGTCCCACTCATGCGATGAATAAACTGGATTTCTTAAAACAAATCGGGTTTGGAGAGAATGCTTTGACTTTGAAGGTCCTAAATATCTTGGCTGGCTCTAGGAGTGAGCTACAAAGCAGATTTGATTTTCTTCTCAGCAAAGGTTTCGAGCACGCAAACCTCTGTTTGATGATAAGAACGAAGCCCAAGATACTAAATCAGGGCCACGAGAAATTGGAACCAAAGTTGAACTTTTGGTGCCAGGAAATTGGATCCTCTATACAGGAACTAGAGAGAGTGCCAGGATTTTTGTGTTTTGACTTGGAGAATCGGACTAAGCGCAGATACAGATTTTATGTCTGGCTTAGAAAGACTGGCGTATATACGAAGAAATGCGCCATTTCATCCATGATTTATCCCGGTGAAAAGCAGTTCATAAAGCGCCTTCTTGAGATTCACCCAGCTGCTCCAAAATGGTATTTAGAATGTTTCTAAGATAACAAAAGACCCGTCAGTGGTTGCGAGGAGACATCTCTGATTTAAGCCTTGTACCGCTGTCTTCATAACATCATGGAGAAGCTTGTCTGAGAAAGAAACATTAGAACTGAAAGGTGAACCTTTTGTGCAAGAGTCATCTTGGACTTGAGTACCTGAATAGTCTCCTGGGATTGTTATGTTTTTGCTAGAAGATAATGGCTTATGCTCTGAAGACTACTCTCTTACAAATATCATTGCCACTGGCCACAACAGCATTGTGGCGCGCCTTTTTGGAATTCATTGAACTGCTCCAAAGTGGTATTCTGAGTGTTTCTCATACGAAAGACTCATTCAATGATTGGCAAGAGTCATCTTGGACTTGAGTGTACATACCATGAAGACTCTTATGCAACATTTGTGGGTTTATATTTAATCTCATAAAGGTGATAATAGTTTTCTTCTCGAGGATTCTTGTTCAAATTTTTGGAATTGGTTTGCTACCTAAGAAGGGTCACTACTTACAATCTTAATTCAGCAAGTTGAAGTGCCGAGGCTCCTTATGCTTGATAACCCTATAATTGTGTTGTATTTTCTGGCAATGAGCATTTTCATTAGTGTTTGATGCTTACAATCTTGGTTTTATTTCTTTTTCTTAAACACAAAGGCAGGACAAGTATCCTGAAATTGAGGGACGGATGCATCACTGAGTTATGCACTTGTATTGCTTGTTTCAAGTGAAGATGGAATGTGGGATTTGGGAATCTAGTGCCAAATGGGATTTGAACAATTACTGAAATTGAATGCAAACCTTGTGCTTGTATAAGTTTATTATTGTCAGTTTTACATGTACTAGAGACTAAAACTCTCTTTCTCAAAATTCTGGATCTTTTCGTCAACTATACAAATTCTTTTTCCAGAGTTCCTAAATAGCTTTTAGACTTTATCATTGAGAAATTTTGTTGAGATCAATTCTAGTAATGTGCTTTCAAGCAACCAAAAATAAAAAATAAAAAAAATAAACTTCTAGTAATGTGCATGGATAGAATGAGAACAAGCATGATGCGTTTTTGCTTCTTCAAACTTTTATAAGGAAAGCACTTTATGGTCAATTTCTGTCTTCTGATGTCTTTTATTTACACACAAGAACCACTTCTATCAATTTATTTCCCTTGCGACATTCAACTCACGGGGCAAAATTCTCTGACCTGCCATGAATAAAAAGTTTTTGATGGGGTCTCTAAGTGAGAAAATAGATCACAAGCATGAATAATATGCTTTTGGCTGGAATATTTAGTTATCATTAATTCCATAACATTTGGACTAATTATATGTTCGTTTTCTAATACAGATGGATTGAAAAATGTTAATCAAGTGATGACAATTTGTCCAACAAATGTTGAGCAATATGGGACTTTGCTTTAGTGATGTGAAAAGGAAAGGAATGTAATAACCAATTCCCAAAAAGTGATGCATGCTTGAACTTTTTACCCAGGAAAAGAAATGAGCTAAGCCCTTCAACAAAACATAAAAACATTGAGCAAATGACGACTAAGTTTGTTAATCAAAACTTGGCATGAAAGTTACCTCAATGCAAAATTTACGTGACTTTATTACTCAGGTTACTCAAGGAATTATCTCTACTGTTCAATGACCAACCAAATAGGGGATTAACTACTGAACATGAAGGCACGGTCAGCCACACAACTCGATTTCGTGTCAATGAAATTTTGTGAAGATTTATTGTTGGCATGTATGGCAATGCCGCAATGATAAATATTAAAAAATTCAAAAATACTGTTTTTCTGTTCGTTGTTGCAAGAGCTGTTGTAACTACCTGTTGCAACAAGTCTATGTGAACTGTAGAATTTGAAAACCTGAAGTTACACGTGTTTTGTGATCAGATAATCCTTCAATCACGTTCATTTAACTCTGAGAGTTAGTTATAAAAGAGATGAAGGTCGAATGTTATGAGATAATGATAGAAATTTCAAGAAGAAGATAAGAGGGTTTTTCAAAACAATAATTCTATAGCAATTCGAATAGATCTGATCAGATTTTGAGTTATCCATCAACTAGAATTGTGGAGAATGAAATTCCAAATACAACTCAGGATATTTACTGAAGATTTGAACAAAATAATCCTAGTTTGAATTGAATTCAAAGTCAAACCTAAATATGATTCTTCCTGCTCTACATCTGTTGGGCACTTGAGCATTATCTTTTGTTCAAACCTTCAAGCATCACCCCAGTGTGTCGAAAACCTCTCTAGCCTTCGAAGTTTAACCATCATTGGCTGTGTCAATTTGAATTCATTACCAGAGGGGTTGCAGAACCTAAGCACAATGTATAGTCTTGAAATCCGGAGTTGTCCTGGCATACAAACTTTGCCCGATTAGATTGAGAAACTTGCTTCACATTTCGGGACGTGAAAATATCACATTCTTACCTCAAGGTATCAAGTGTCTCACTGTCTCACTGCAATCTAGTGTTAGGAACCCCTCTTCATAGACTAACAACGGAACACAACTCAGAGAGAATTATTTGAAAATGGGTCAAGTTCCTTTTATTAATTCACTCTTTTGTCTCTCCGAAGAGAGGAATTACAGCCACAAAAATAAGAACTTAAGAAAAGCAAGAACAATGGAGAATTCGAGGTTATCCTTCCTCCCAAGGTCTGCTAATAGAATTCCTAATCAACAGACAGCCTATCTCGTCCCCCCTCCTTCCCTAGATATGCTCCCTAGCTAACAAATTCCTAACCAACTTGCCACATCAGCTCTCCTTTCTCATATTTCCCATATTTCCATTCCCTACCCCCTTGTCTTGTACAATTGCCCTATGCCCCTTCCTCCGAGAGTAGACCAACGTAACAGGAGGCCTAACAATACCCCCCCTTCGAGGACAACCTTGTCCCTAAGGTTGAAAGTGGGGAATTGCAAGCGGATCGTAGCCAACGGTTCTCAAGTAGACTCCCACTCTGGAAGGCCCTGCCACTGAAGGAGTACCTGCTGCTCCTCGCGGCCACCCACCATTACCACTCGAGACGCCAGAACTTCCTCCGGGCAGATGCACAATTCCAAGTCTGTGGAAAACTTCTCCGGCAAAGGCTGCACCTTGGATGCCGCCCCCTTAAAAGGTTTCAACTGAGAGACATGAAAAACTGGGTAGATGCGAGCGGTATCCGGCAGGCATAAACAGTAAACGACAGGACCAATCTTAGCCAAAACTTCAAATGGTCCATAGAAACGCAAAGCGAGTTTCTCATTCTTGCATCGAGCAAGGGACTTAAGGCGGTAGGGCCGCAATTTAAGCAAAACCAGCTCCCCGATATCGAAATTCAGTTCCCGGCGTCGGCTATCTGAAAATTTCTTCATACGCTGCTGGGCTAGCAAGGGATGAGATTTCAACAAGTCCAACATTTCATTACGAAGAGCCAACTGGTCCTCCACTGCAGCCACCGTGCTGGGAGTGTCCTGAAAGCGAAAAAGGGTGGGAGGGTCCCTGCCGTAGACAATGCGAAAGGGGGTGAATTTGGACGAGGCATTAAAGGTGGTGTTGAACCAGTATTCAGCCCACGGCAAAAACGAAGCCCACAACCGCGGTTTATCGCCTACAAAGCACCGTAAATAACCCTCTAAGTAGCGGTTAACAACCTCTGTTTGTCCATCGGATTCCGGATGATAAGCGAAACTGGTACACAACTTAGTGCCCTGCAATTTGAATAATTCGTGCCAAAATTCACTCATAAAGATCGCATCCCTATCACTTACTATGGAGCGTGGAACCCCATGAAGCTTAACGATGTGCGAGACAAACAATGCAACCACTTGTTTGGCCGAATATGGGTGAGCTAGTGGGCAAAAATGGGCGTATTTCGACAGACGATCCACGACCACCAAGATGGTGTCAAACCCGCTGGACTTAGGCAAGCCCCGTACAAAATCCATGGATACATCGTCCCAAACCAAGTCCGGGATAGGTAAAGGCTGCCAGAGGCCTACTGGCGACAGGGCTTCGGACTTATTCCGCTGGCAAATCTCGCAGTGAGCCACATAATCCCTAATGAAACGCTTCATCCCTCGCCAGAACACTACGGCGGACAACCGCTTGTAGGTACGTAAGAACCCGGAATGACCCCCAATCATTGAGTCGTGAAACTCATGCACCATCCGAGCAATGCAAGGAGAATTTGCTACCAAGACTAGTCGGTTCTTAAAGAACAATAGGCCATATTTTAACGAATAGCCTTCCATGAGCTCGCCGTCTTCGAGCTTAGAAATGGTTGTGGGCCACTCTTTCTCTGTGCGCTGCTCTAATCGGATGGCCTCCAAATCCCCGGCCTGAGGCATGGTGAAGGCGCAAAGAGTAGCATCCGACCAGTCGCCCCGCCTTGATAGCACGTGAGCCACCTTATTGGCCACTCCTAGCTTGTATTGTACCTCAAAGTCATAGCCAAACAACTTATACACCCACCGCAGCTGGTCAGGAGGAAGTTGGCGCTGACTCATGAGATACCGCAAACTTTGCTCATCAGTTCGGACTACAAAATGCCGCCCTAGTAAGTAGTGTCTCAATTTTTGAATTGCCAACACCACCCCCATAAGCTCCCTTTCGTAAACAGACTTTACGCGGGAAGCCGGAGCGAGGGCCTTGTTGAAAAATGCGAGAGGCCTGTCCTCCTACATCAAAACTGCCCCTAAGCCTTCTCCAGAAGCGTCTGTTTCGAGCACAAAGGTTTTAACGAAATCCGGCATTGCTAATACCGGGAGTTGTGTCATGGCGGCCTTCAGTGCCTCAAAGGCGTGGCGTGCAACGTCGGTCCAAACAAAGCCCTTCTTTGTAAGCAACTCTATTAAGGGCCTTGCGAGGATGCCATAACCCCTCACAAACCGCCTGTAATAGCCCGTGAGCCCCAGGAACCTGCGTACTTTTCGGGCGTTTCGTAGGGGGGGCCATGCCGTGATAGCCTGAATCTTAGAAGGATCAGCCGCTACCCCTTGCGCCGAAATTAGGTGGCTTAGGTACTCTAACTGCCGCTGCCCGAAACTACACTTCTTATTAGCAAACAACTTCTCACGCTGCAAGACACCAAAGACAGTGGCCAAGTGCTGGCGATGGTCCTCCCACGAACGGCTGTACACCAAAATATCATAAAAAAAATACAAGAACGAATTTCTAGAGGTAAGGTCAAAAAATCATATTCATGAGGGCTTGGAAGGTGGCTGGAGCATTCGTCAACTCGAAGGGCATGACGAGGAACTCGTAGTGGCCCTCATGAGTCCGGAAAGCCGTCTTTTCCACATTCGCTTCATGCACCCGAATTTGGTGATAGCCAGCTCGCAAATCCAGTTTACAAAACACCACCGCCCCGTGTAGCTCATCCAATAACTCATCAATCAACGGAATGGGAAACTTATCCGGGATTATGACTTGGTTGAGCGCGCAGAAGTCTACACAGAACCACCAACTACCGTCTTTCTTTTTAACTAGAATGACCGGGCTCGAATAAGGGTTGTTGCTCGGCTGAATGATGCCCGAGGATAACATATCTGTCACCAAACGCTCTATTTCCCCTTTCTGTACTTGCGGATATCGATAGGGCCGAACATTCAGGGGATCGGCCCCTTCCCTCAGAACAATTCGGTGGTCCCGTTCCCTGTGAGGAGGCAACTCCGTAGGACTTTGGAACCCTCTTTCAAAGTCGCCCACCACTGACCTCACCTCTTCTGGCACCTCCCTGTCGCCACTGTCCCTTCCTTGCACCGAGAGTTCGCACACTTCCACCAACACCCCGGCTCTTTCTGGTAACAACGTCCTCACTAAGGAACTCAGCTTCACCGGGGTATAGCATAGGCTTGGGTCACCTCGCCAAGTTACCCACGTTGGCCCAGCCCGAATTTCAATAGGAACTTAGACCAGTCTACCCTAACTTCCCCCAGAGTGCTCAACCATGTTACCCTCAATACCATATCAGCCCCTCCCAATTCGAAGGGGAAAAAGTCCTCCTTGACCCTATGCCCCTGAATCCACACTTGAATCGCCCTACATACCCCACGCTGTTTAAAACTGAGCCCATTGCCCACTAAGATGTTGTGACTTACCGTGGGGTCCATCGGCAATTTTAGCTCCGTTGCTATCGCTCCCGAGATGAAGCTGTGAGTAGCCCCACTGTCTACTAGCACCACAACCTCTCGGCCACCAATTCTGCCTCGCAGCTTTAGCGTGTTGAAGGACGACATTCCGCGTAAGGAGTTCAGGGACAGATCCACCTTGTCATCCAGGCTTCCTTTTTCCAACTCCTCCTTTAGTGGTTGCTCCTGAATGGCGCCATCCTCCTCCTTGGATGTCCCATTCGTGTCCGCCAAAATCAGCACTTGTAGTTGCTTGTTCTTGCAACGGTGGCCCGGGCTGAACTTCTCGTCGCACTTGAAGCACAAGCCCCGAGCTCGTCGCTGCCGGATTTCCTCCTCCGTGAGGCGGCGGGATGTCGAAGCTCCCGCTACCATAGAGCTCTACCCTACGCCCACCCCACTTCGCAGTCCATGTACTCCCACCGCTTCATTTGGACCATTGGATCGAATAAGGCTCTCTTGTGAGGGCAGAGTATGATTCGTGCCCTGAAATGGGCCCCCAACCTGTTCCCAGGCTTCAGTCCTGAGCCCACGGCCCGCCCGGTACCTCCTGACTCTCTTTATTGCTTCGTTGCGGGCCTCTACTTGCTGGGCCAAATCCATCATATCGTGTAGGCTAACGGGCCTGTGCATTTTCAACTCAGCCCGAATATCCTCCCTAAGCCCATGAAGGAAAGCCCCTCTGAAGATGGCATCAGGCACTCCCCTCATCTGGGCCGCTGTTCCCTCAAACTCGTCCCGGTAGTCAGCCACTGTCCTGCACTGCTGGAGTGCCATGAGTTGCTCCACTGGATCGACCTATCTTCCCTGACCAAATATCCGCAGCACCGCCGCACGTAATCCCTCCACGATCCGAATGGATCTTGGGCGTCAGCCCATTGGAACCAACCCAAGGCTCTCCCCTCCATGCAAACCGACGCCACCACCACTTGCTCATCCTCTTCTACGTTGTTGACGACGAAATACCTGTCAGCCTGGAATACCCATCCTTGAGGATCTTCGCCGTTAAATATGGGTAACTCTAACTTCCGTTCTCGGTGCTCCACTCGTCCCCTTGGGGCCGGGGGGGATTCCCGCCGCCACTCGCGGGTGGTGAAACCGACCGAACGTGTGGAACTGGCCGCCGCCCATCCTGCATCCTTGGCGGAACCGCTTCAAATCTTGGAGGAGGTGGTGGATTCCTCTGGAAGAGCTCTGCTTGCCGGTGGAGCATAGCCTCCAGTCGCCGTACCGACCCTTTCATGTCATCTAGCTGAGCGCCGATCTTTGTCACGTCTTCCCGCAACTTAGGCAGAGGTTCGGTTAAGGATTCAACGATCTGTAACGCCTTGTAAAATGAATCCATCCTCTGTTCCAGCCATGCTACCTCCTCCGTCTGGGGTCGCGCACCGGAGTTTTCTCCCATGGATCGTCACGCTCTGATACCAAAATGTTAGGAACCCCTCTTCACAGACTAACAATGGAACACAACTCATAGAGAATTACTTGAAAATGGGTCAAGTTCCTTTTATTAATTCACTCTTCTGTCTCTCCGAAGAGAGGAATTACAGTCATGAAAATAAGAACTTAAGAAAAGCAAGAACAATAGAAAATTTGAGGTTCTCCTTTCTCCCAAGGTCTGCTAACAGAATTCCCAATCAACAGACAGCCTATCTCGTCCTCCCTCCTTCCCTAGATATGCTCCCCAGCTAACAAATTCCTAACCAACTTGTCACATCAGCTCTCATTTCCCATATTTCCCATATTTCCATTCCCTACCCCCTTGTCTTGTACAATTGCCCCACGTCCCTTCCTCCGAGAGTAGACCAATGTAACAGGAGGCCTAACATCTAGCACCTCTCAATTCACGATTGTCCTCAACTTCTTGAAAGGTGCAGGCGGGAAAGTGCAGAAGATTGGCAAAAGGTAGCCCATGTCCATCATAAACACATTCGACCGCCCGAGCAAAGGCATCAAAGTGAAGCAGGCAGCAGTTCTTTAGAACAAAGCCTGGATTTGAGCAAGTAACTTTTGATCCTTTACCATTTTAATTCTCTTTGTTATGATTTTATTTGTCTCTTCAACTTAGATCTGTTAGATGTCGTTTTGATGTGTTTGTCATAATAACAATTGTTTCATCTACTCTGATGAGTGACTAAAGAATTCACCGAACTTGTTATTTTTGAATATATGTATTCTGGATACTATATAAAATTCACATTTATCTGTTTAATGTCTTCTACTGCTTTTCTAATAGGCCTATACCCTTACACTCTTAACGCAATTGTTTCTATCAGCTAGCCCACATAATTTTCTATCGATACAACCGCGCTTGCTTATGTTCTGTTATTAATGCAAATGTGAATGTTTTCACGTATTATTTTATTGTTCTAATAATATTTTATTTTGGTTCCATATTAATGAGGTGATGATATCAGTTCAGATAGAAGATTTGTAATTCTTACTCTCTGCGTAGTACAACTCTGTTGGATGCTTCTGTCCGTTGAAATCAATTATGATTTGGGATGTGTGAATTTAGATTTGTATTTGAGAACTGACTTTCTTATTATTCTAGAGACTTTATAGTATTGGTGATAATTACTTGACTGAGACTATGTAAGGATTTGGGTTTGTTGATGATTACTAGATGTTGAGACTCTTCAAGGATTTTGGCAAATAGACCTTTTAAGGTATTTTCTTATTATCTCTATTGTGATACGGCTCTGTGGTATTTACTCATTGTGGAAGCTGTTACTGTCTCTGTAATGATATGTTTCTAAGATAAGCTCGTGTCTTTCGCTGTTCATGCTTCAAAATATTGGTGGTGGCATAGTATACTAAAGTTGTGTATTCCTTTGGAGAGTTGGTGACATCTTGCAATTGTCATGTTCGGGCACTAGTCGCATCGGCTTCTATGGATCCGTTGTAGCTGCACCAGTCGGTGTCAAAAGGTGTTCTTCTGCGGAGCCAAGTGTGTATCGATGTGTTTGGTTTGCTTTATGGGAAGCTTCGGCTCAAGATCATGCACTCTTTTTTCTTGCATGGAATTTTTTTTTTCCCCACTGGGTTTTTAACGAGGCTTCCTACTTGGAGAGTAGATCTTGTGGTTTTCGATCTCAATATGGCTTAACTAAATTTAACTTTCATGTTATTGGATTGTAAACTTTCTTTTGGCATGTTTCTGTTTTACGTTTTCACTGTCAGCTTCATTCCATAATACGTTCGATAACAATTTCTTAACTAAAAAGAAAAGAAAAATCAAACAGTCTCAACTCAATTATTTGAGTACCTGTAGTCTGCCTGAATAAACGCGTCTTGAATGGTGAGAATTTCTGTGCTTTGTTATTTATAAGATGTTGTTTGACTAGTTATTTGTCGTTTTGATAATCACTTGTAACTTCTCGATTTACAAATGGAGGAATAATGGGCACTTTTCTTCATTCCGATTTACAAATTGTTACTTTTTTTTTCTCTTTCTTTTTGGTTTTTGCATTAGGATATTGCATTGGTTTGGCAACTAAAATGTTCTTCACAGAACCAAGAGTATTTTTTTTATTATTTTAGAAAATAATAAGGAAGTTTAGTAATTAGTAAATCTATTTATAAGAAAATATATATTTACTATTAAAAATAAATAATTTCTCTATGATCTACTGCATTACATTTATTATTGATGTTTTGGAAGCAATTATCTTGGTATATATTTATTTTTTGGGTAATTTTTAAAAATACCTCTAAAAATAGAGCCCATTTTATTTTTATTTTTTAAAATTAGTCTATAGAACTAGTTTAAAAGGGTCCTTAGTCAGGTACTTAAGACAATAAAATTTGTAATTTACTCTCTTTTTTTTTTCTTTCATAAACGGTCCATATTTTTGCCCTGAAAAGTGTAAAGCTTTCAGGAATTATTCTTTATAGTGGAATGTGAAGGCTAACTTTATGTCCCATCGTACTGTATATTGATGTCGTTTTCTGTTTTTTATGTCGTTGGCGCTTTTTATTCAAAATCTTATCAACAGAATCCCTCATATAAATAGAACGACGTCACTGTGGAATCATATCCTCTGTATTTCCTGATTCACTCTTCGAATAACAAGTAGAAATAAAGAAGCTTCTTCCTTTTGCACTTCGACGGCGTCGTTTCGAGCTAGGGTTTCGAGCTAGTAACTGCAAAAATGTCGGGAAGCTCTAATTCCACCGTTTACATAGGTCAGTTTTGATCTTTTTCTTCAATCCTTAGCTTCTTTAGCATCTATTCTGCTTTCATTGCTATTGCCGAGAACTTGGCAAAGGGGAAATTAAAAAAGTATTATTGAAAAATTCTTTCGGAGGAAAATTTAGCTGTGGTTGATGGAGTTTCTAGGATGTATTTGATTCGCGAGCAAAAAGCCCCATGGGAATTAACACCAAATTATAAATTGTGTTAAGTTTTCTATATTTTGGCAAAACTTCGTTTTCGTTAAATTTATGGAAGCTCAATTTTGTTAGTTATTATTAATTTTTTTTTATTATTTTTGGTAAAGCTTTTCCTTTTCGGTTGTAAGTTTTGTTACGGGAAATAAAGCTGTAATTTTTTTCGTAATAATCTCCAGCTGTTTTCTTTTCTTTTTCCTCTTTATTTTTTTTATTATTTTTTTAATGTTTCCGAGAGCAGATTCTGGAATGCCAGTCTTATCGCTTCTTTGGTTATTCACGCTATAGGCATTCGTCGAAGACATGCTTAGAATCAAAATTTTTGTCTAATTTATGCTTCTTCTTTATTTTTTATTTTTTATTCGAGCCTCAACATAGTCACTTGGATTTAAGGAGCAACATGGATTTATCCAGAGTTTTTTTTTGTTTACTTGTTTATTTTTATGTCCCGAAAATCCTAATTCTATTTTTATTGGATCAAAAATGTTTTTGAATTGACACATAGGATTGCTTATATATATATATATACATATATATATATATATATAACATTTTTGAACAGGAAATTTGGATGAGCGGGTGAGTGATAGGGTGCTGTATGATATTCTGATCCAAGCAGGGCGGGTGGTTGATTTGTACATTCCTCGTGACAAGGAAACCGAAAAACCGAAAGGTTATGCCTTCGCAGAATACGAAACCGAGGAGATTGCTGATTATGCTGTGAAGCTTTTCTCTGGTCTGGTCACTCTCTACAATAGGACTCTTAAGTTTGCGGTATGCATGTCATTCATGCTTTTCTACACTCTCCAGCAACTTTATATTAAATCTGGTGTCCCATGCTCAATCACTGTATCATTTTCATGTAACAGTTGATATGTGTAATGTTTGATTGGATGAAAGGGACACATCCGCCCATTCTATAGTGGATTTCAGTTATAGGTTAGTTTGAGATCTCGATAACTTGTACATTGTCTTGGATCAACAGATTTCAGGTCAAGACAAGCTTAATACGCCCCCTGGAATTTCTCCCACATCAAATGCTCCTCACAAACCGAGATCTAATCCCATACCAATTAATGAAACGGAAAGGACGTTGGCATCTTCCAGATTTTCATCTCACCCATTAAATCATTCCCAAGGTCATTATGTTCTCTTTTAATAAACTAAAATTCAGTTAGCATTCAGACCTCAAAAGAATTGAAATTGCAGTTTTGTTTCAAATTACTGAAATTTCTCTTTATATTCAGCGCCTCCTCCTCCTGGTGTAAATATTCATTCTAATGGATACGGATCACCTTATGATGGTAAAAATTTTGAATATAGTCGGCGGGTTTTTGGGGCAACATTGGATAGCATCGGCCGTTCTAGGTCACGACGCTATGATACAAGCGATCCAATTTCATACCCTCCTTACTAACGCTTCTTTGACGTTGTTGGGGACCAAATTCTCACCTTGAACTCCTCTTAGTGATTATTTCAAGTGGTATACCTGCTTGGGTGTACAAGAGAGACTAAAAATACTGATTGTTGCGAGTCACAAGCTAGTTTGTCATGTTGGATGCTGTTTTTGGTCGTCTGCCCATGTATGTATGCATAGTTTGTTGTACTTCCAGGATCTAACTTCTTTCTGTACTAGTTCAGAGTGCTTGTAAAAAGTACTTTTAAATTCAGATAAAGTTACTTATCAATTGCCCTTTACTTTGTCCTTGTGCTTGCCATTATTGATGCTTATGCATAACCGTACACAAAACCATAAATAAACGATGACTTGATCATTAAAGTTGTGAATGTGATGTATATGATTGTTTTGAAGAATCTTGACCCTCGTGCTGTATTTATTTGGTACGCTGAAACATATGTGGATGTAAACCACTTTTTTTTTTTATTTTTTTTTATTTTTTTTTTATTTTTTAAGTCTAGTCTTTTAAATGCCGGGTTTTTTTTTGTTGGTTAAAGGCTTATAGCTACTGCATTTCAAACACACGTATCATGCTGAAGTTAGTATCTACGTTTTGTTCGTTGCTATAAGTTGACATTTGACAAAAGCAGTTCCTTTTTTTCCTCCAAAAGTGAGCTTTGAAAAGATAAAAATAGTGCTTCAAAATCCCTTGTCTTCTGAAAACAGTTCCTTTTCTCTCTCTGTCTCTCCTTCTTGATCTTCTTTTTCTTCTTTTATTTATTTATTTTTTTTCTTGGCAGAGTTAAAGAAATAGAATACAATAGTGCCATGAGTTATATCTTCTTCAGCGATCGCGCTTAATAGAAGAATAATAGTTAAAGAGCAGCACTACAGTTTGACATGTAAGAAAGTGACATCAGCAGTTAAAATCGTTTTTGGGTGGAATCAAGAGAGGCTTTGACTTCATAACATGTTAACAACGTTTTAATCTTATTTGGAAACATTTTCGAATTATCCATAAGTAAAATATCATGATACTCGTAAGTGATTAATAGTAGCACATACCATAAATTTTTGTATATGATTTGTGCGTATAATGTATGCGTGTATTGTCTTTTATATAAAGCGTAATCAAGTTTTGTTCTTGTTTTTATTTTTTTATTTTTTTTATTTTTTCAAAAGAAACAAGGCTCCTAATGAAATAGTAGCGGGGGAAACTGTGCACTAATCGCCTATAATCACAGCTACGCGGTGTCCCATAGAAGTCAGCTTGAAACTCACGCAGGAAAACGGCTATATATAATGTATCAGTGCGTCTACGTAGGCTAAATCAAAACGCAAAGAAAGACATGGGTTTCTCCATAAGTGTGGCAGCTGCTGTGATGCTGGAGGGGGTAGAAAAGGAAGACGGCAGTGCCAACAATGCGGTGTTATCCCCATTGTCAATAAACATGGCGCTCAACATGCTGGCTGCAGGCTCGGCGGGGACAATGTTAGATCAGTTTCTGGAGATTCTTGGTTCCAAACTCACCAATGATCTCATCTCCAAGTCTTCAATCATGATGTCTCTAGTCGCTGCCTCCAATGATGATGAACAGGACACCAGAAATAGAAACGAGGACAACACTGTAATAAAGCATCCAATAAGGCTAATGTTTGAATGTGGAAGGCAGAGGCAGCCACCTTCAACTTCATGGCCAAAGAAGAGAGAGGCATGAGGGCTGCTCTTTTCCTTCGTGAACGCCATTTGGATTGATCATCGCTTTCCTTTGATACCCTCCTTCAACATGTAACCGATAACGTCTACAAAGCACGAGTACAAAATGTCAACTTGTGTAATCAGGTACACTCATTTTCCCTCTTGTTTTTCCTTGGTTTTCATGCGTCTGTTAATTTGGACTTACACATTTGTCACATAATTCAAACAAACGTCTGTGTTTGAATGCTGTCTCTTAATATATAAAATTACCAACAAGGCAACAACAACCATCTTGAGATTCTAGACTATATATCTCACATTTTATTCATAAATTTCCTTAAAAAGAAAAGGAAAAAGAAAAAGAGAAATCCTTGCTTGCTTTGCCCTTCACTTCTACTGCTTCTACTAAAACTGGAAATCTCATATCTTTCTTAGACAAAAAAGATTTGGTATTAATCGACAATTCTGGTTATGATTTGTATTTGACACTAAAATCTACTCCCTGTCATTTCTCACACTACAATTTTAAGTTTATGGTGCTTTAGTCTCATGCAGTACCCTTGATAAAATATTGAATTAGTTATGTTGATTATTTGTGCTGCTACTGCTGCTGCATTGTTTTTCTTCTCTGCAATTTAATCTGACCATCATTAGTCCTTGGCACACAGGCTGAACAATTTTTTATCAGCTGAATTTCTTTAATATGTTCCTACATCAATTAATCCTTTGATTCTTAGTGCCAAAATCACTGCATATTCCTATGACTTGTTTTCCAGAATTAGTACACTAATATTCCGAATTACCAAGTTTGTACCCCTCCGTATTACAAATTGCGAGAACGGAAAGAATAACAGGAATATGTGTTATTTTTTTCTACTGCGTATGTGATAAAGTTAGCATCTTTACACTTGTTTGCTATATTTTTTTATTGGCTATTGCTACTTTCGAAGAGAAGTTCTCATTTGATGAAAATTTTAACAGATCAAACAAGAGAAAACATGAACAATCTTGTTCTCTGAGATGAATAGAAAAATAGAAATCCACCTCGAGCTAGTTAGTTTCTTAGCTAAGTCTTGGAATAGTTGTCCATACTGCATTTCATTTAGTTTTCCCTTTAAAAGAAAAAAAAATGAAGTTTTGCTTGTCACACATGTTGCATTTGACACCTTTCTAGGTAGCCAAAATATCATTTTGTTAAACATCTCAATGTGCTTCTTTTCTCTTGCATTATGCTTATGTCTTTTCAAGTCTTGTAAACAAAATTGACCAAAGAGTGGGTGTCACCAAACTAGATTCTTAGATTACGAAATTGTTGTAATAACCAAAATAACACCACTTTCTGACTTTTTGGTGTGGTGGCCATACCCCATATTTAGGGGACAAGCATAATAAGTAGCTTATTTACAATTAGTAAACTCCCGAAAGTAAAGTTTGCGTTTAACTCGTTTTAAGAGGTTTCCATTTAACTTCTGGAGCTCCCGGCAAAGTATGCTAATGGTCCAACAATGGCAGCATTGATGTAGGTTGCGGGTTCAGAGTGGCTGTAATCGGTACGATCATCCGAGTAGCCATCGTTCTGGTTTGGTCCTCCCACAATGGCTCCGGTCAAGATATTAGGATTCGGGCTCGCGGAGTAGAAGAATGGCTGGAAACCGCCTTCACAACCAAAGGACTGTGGATGTCTTGCCAGTGAGGGCAATGAGGATCCTCTGTGGTGAACCCTCTTGGGATAGTATTGCCCATACCCCACCATGTAGGACATCTTCAAAGGATTCACCCCTAGTATGTAGTCCACCTAATAATCACAAGAGTTTAATAAAATTAGAAACTAATTCATGTTATAGGATACTTGGATATGAAAAACCTTATGGTTTCCGTACCATTTTAAACCGTCATATCATATCAGAATTATAAAAGAAAAAGTAGAAATTTTTTCATGAGGATACATGTATGCTGACCTGTCTCTTGGCAAGGTTTCTTAAGGTGATTGGAGTGACGAGGAGGTTGCCGCAGTTGAAAGTTTGCCTTGTGGCTGACATGTACTTGGAATATGTAGAAAGTAAGAATGTTATTGCCGTTACATATTGCAGATTACTGGATGGTAGCTTGTACATGAGTCCTCCTGCCAGCAATTAATCCAATATTACTTCATAATCAAACAATTACATTTTTACTCATTATAAGTTCCAATATTATGAGGAAATTAAATAATGTTGAGTTTAAATACCTTGTGTATACTGTGTACTTGAATAGGGAGAGTTGGGCAAAATCCGGCACATAAATTGTTGAGCTTCTTGTTTGTACTGCTCAAAGTTGTTATCTTTGTTCACCAATGATCTCTGTAAATTAAGTAACGCAAATCATTTCATCAATCACTCTGCTAACTCAGTGCTGGAGGATTGAAACGTTATAAATTTAGTAGTTTAGGCAAGCAATTATAATTGTAATTACCCTTGATAAAAGAACATAAGCACCGGCATATTTGTTGTCCCAACTGAAGATGTCAGTTGAATCACCAGCTCCCAAAGATTTCAAGAAATTTAAGTAATAAACCTGGTTTGTTGCTCTAAAAAGCCATGCCGCTCCCCACAGCAGCTCATCCTAAATACATTAAGAGCAAGAGCAAAAAAGAGTTTCATCAAGATTGAGAGAATTATATGATAAACTATAAAAAAGAATATCTTAGTGGTATTATAATACATTAGATCTTCATGTCACATCATAACTAAAAACAAATAAGGATTTTAAACTATACAATACGGATATAGTTTGATAATTTAAAAAAAAAAAAAAAAAAAAAGGACTAGGAAAAAGTGCGAGCCCCCTAACTCTACATGAGTGGGATGGAGCCTACCCACTTGGGCGAAGCCCATTCCCTCTCATCTAGCTCCTCGTAAAATCCCTTTGCATTTTCTCTTGTGTTTTTAACCCTACTAAAAGAACAATTAAAAGAAAAAGAATAAAGTATTTGAGTGATCTATTCTAGTTGACACAAATATTACAAGTTGTACATGACTTTACCTTGTATCCAGAATAGGAGCAGTAAAAAGGGCAAACTGCGGATCCAAGAGAGTCACTATAGGCCCCTCTGTACTGGATTGCAAATTGCATGACCTTCTTTGCAGTGGCCAAAAGCAGCCTTGAGTAAGCGGGGTCCACCTTCTGGAAAACCATGGAGGCTGCTGCCAATGCCGCCGCTGTCTCCGCCGCAATGTCGGAGCCGGGATTGCTGGCTGAGACCGAATAAACAGACCGGCCTGTGTCCATGTCTTCGGGCCTCTCCCAACACTTGTGGTCCACATTAGGGTCTCCAACCCCAACATAGAGCTTACCGGGCGTAGCCCGTGCACACTTGAGGAGGTAGTCGGTGGCCCAACGGATTGCAGCCCGGGCGCTTTGTAATTGGGGGCCCATGCGCTTGCCGTATTCAAGGGTGCCCCATGACAACATTGTGGTTGTGAAGGCCATGGGGAAATTGAATTTGATGTTGTCTCCGGCATCATAGTACCCTCCACTTAGATCCACCTAATAGTTGAACAATTCAATATGGATATTAGTGTTTAATCGTATTTTAATTACTATATTCTTATTCAATTCTCTATGAAAGTTTTTTTATCCAAAAATTTAAGAAAGAGACCAAACCATAAAAAGATGGGTTTGCATGGCATGGTAATTAGATTATAGTCTCGTATTAGTGACACGATATATATTTTTTTTAAAGAAAATAGTAACATTGCACATGATGGAAAAGAAAAATTACATATTACTAATCAAAAAAAGAAAAACTATATATTACTCAAAGGGATGCCTTTCTCTTTTATTTATCGTTTTGACCCCATCCTTTTGACTTTAGAGCCTTTGATGTCAAAGTACTCCATGTCGTAAAATGAGAGCTACGCACATTGGCTTCACTTTTTGCTTGATTGTTTTCAACACTAATTTATTGAAAGTTTTAAAGGAATCAATTACGAAAACCGAAAACGGTTCAAAAAAAAAAAAAAGAAAGGATAATCAAGAAAGAGCACAGAATGATTATGTACCACGGTCAAATTTTTGATTTTGTATTCCCCAGCGGATCACTCGTTCCAATCCTTTCAAAAAGAGGAAAGAAAGAAAAAAAGAAAAAAAAAAAAAACGAAACAAAACTCATCCAAGTTTTCATAAAGTAACGAATAATTATTACTCATCCAACAAATTTACGGTGGTGTTATCACTATCACGCACTAGCTAGCTAGCTTGCTAGCGCTCATTCATTTCAAACGCAAGAGAATATAAATCAACATGAGATACATATACGTATCTGTAATAATCAGATTCCCTATTGAAAGAGTTGCATGGGAAACACCAGTTAGCTGGAAGCATATATAAATCATGATATGCATATAAAGAAATGACATATGGAGGTCCTGATGATGAATAATAAGAAGCCTACTTACATGAGCAAGACGACCATCATAAAGGCCAGAGTTAGACCTCCATCTTATTTGTTGGGTGTTGGGCAGTCTTCCGGACCTTTGCCCCTCAAAGAACAATATAGACTTTGCCAATGCATCTCTATAATTCATGGGAATATAATTAGCTTCCACACTTCTAATACCGTTGCCCACGAGATTAAACACAGAGATCCAAAGAAAGACTAGCCCCAGCAAATTAACTCTCAAAATTGCCATTATAATTAAGTTGATACCTACTATACTTCTTTTTTAGAAAGCAATCAATGTCAATATTACTTGTGTGGTTTTGTTTGACTTGTTTCGAGAGTTTCAGAAACTCCTTTAAATATACCACGAGAGACTATGATCAGCCGAACGCCATTCACTGCATGCCTAGAGCGCAAATTTAGGCTTTTTAATTCATTAGTAATTCCAAAGTCATTTTTTCTTCTTATTTTAAGCTATTATAATTATTAATGTTAAGTCTTTTGCTTTTCAAATGGAATATAATATTCCCCCTTATGGCATTTGAATTTGTTACTTTCAACTTCTTTTCTATTTATTTATGTACTGTTATCCGTTAGGCATTCATATATACGAAAGGGCAAATCCCATGCAAATATATATATATATATATATAGCTCAATTACATAACTGATTCTTAACTAAACTCATCTTTTTTCTTTATCATCAAGAGCACTGCTATTTATCGCTACCGATACTACGTACATCATATCAGTATAAAACAAATAACACGATAAAAAAAAAAATTAATCTCACTTGAGCTATCATATGGTAATTTTAATATACTGTCATATTGAAGTGCCCAAAAAAAAAAAAAAAAAAGGAAGAAAAGAAATCCGTACTTCATAAATGTCCACATAGGTCCACTTAACTATAAACTGACAATTTCTACTCACTCAAGGCATCCATAGCTTTCCCATGTAATTGTTTTCATTCGCATTTTGTATTTATTAACTACTAAGAAGGAACCCCACAAGTCCCCTATCAGCTGGGTGTCATAAAACATAATGCTCTTTGGCCAAAAATAAAATAAAGAAAAAAACAACAAAAGTAAACGCTACACTCGATGCATATATCACGCACTATAATGTGGCTAATATCATCTTTTTCCTTCTTATTAATAGTAAATGACATTACAGTTGATGGGCCAATAGAAGGCCGGGAATATACTTAAAAATCTCTATGCTTAATCTTAACAAATACCCGTTTAAAATGCATGAATTAGAATTTTTATTTTTTACTATTGATTTATAATCTTTTTAGATAAATAATTACACTAACAAAAAGATATTTATCAAGAATAAAAAATAAAAATTCAGACTCGTGTACTCTTAAATATAAAATCTTCATTTGTTTTAATATCTTTTGTTACCTAACCAAAATGGAATCAGAGACGAGACAAATATGGAATTTTAGCTAATGGTTTGACCAATCAAAGGGCTATCTTAACCCACTATTCACTGAAAAGAAATTAGAATTATCATCAATCGGAGATTTTTCTTTTTTTAGTTCTAAGTGGAATTAAACCTCCCCTGAAGATGCTAATTGCATTTCTGTCTCGTCTTCTTTTCTTGATTTCCTAATGGCCTATAGTCCAACATTTTTTTTTTTTCAAATAAAATTATCATTTCATCTGTAGCATCCACCAAAAAAAAAAAAAAAATCAATTAGTTGGGCCTTTTATCTACACTTGATGCTTGCTTTCATCATTATGTACACTTGATGGTTGATTGACATAATTATGAACACATTAATTAAGCTCAATTTAATCCAAAGCAAAACATGTGAGTGACTCATGCACAAGTAGTCTTTATACTGTTTCCCCACATGTTTAATTCATGCCCGACCAGGCCCACTGCATACAAATTAATGCCTCGTCAATGGGGAAACGCAAACTCCCTAATTTGGGGTCAATTCAGTAGTTCAAACTGTAACCATAAAAACTGCAAGAAACACTTTTCTTGAAATTTGCCATGTTGCTTTTTTGTCAAATTGTAGGGAAAAAGTGAAGGCGTTAATGGCGCTAATTAAGAAATCGGCGCCAAAGTTTAATTTAAAGATATTTGACAAGATCATGATCAATGAAGTGCGGTAATCGATGAAATGTTGCTTTTTGATTTTGATTTTGATTTTGATTTTGATTTTTTCCTAGTAGTGTTGCTTTTTTTATTTGATTCTCTTTTCTTGGGATCGTCCTAACGCCTTTATCCATTTTCTTCCCATGCTTTAGGCCTAAGCTGCCTATCTTGAATTCTTTATTAGTAACCTGAGAATTCGATTAGTCCGTCCAACTCAAACCAATTCACATGAGTTACGAGTTAGGTTAGTTGGGAGGACTTTTAATTAATTAGTATAGATTGAGATAATCCAAATCCGAAAATTTTGATTGGTTTCTTAAATAAACATTTCCCAATCCTCGAAATTCAAATTATATATAATATGTTGCATTAACGGATCTTATATATATTGAGATACTTTAAAATAATATTCATAAATGATGAAGACTCTACTTTTTACTTCTATTAAAGTTTATTAGTTATGATGGATTGCAATGTTACATAACTTAAAATTTATGTCAGAAGGCCGATTAGATTAGGTTGTAATAAATAAGATTTTATTAAATTATTTTATGTTATAGTATGAATTTTGAGGAAAAGTAGACAAATACATCTTAAAAGTGCATGAGTTAGGATTTCTATTCCTTACTTTTAATTAATAACCTTTTTAGTCAAATAACTATATTGACAAAATAGTATTAATCAAGAATGAGAAGTAAAAATTTAAAATCATACACTCTTAACGGTAAATTATGTAATTTTTTCTCATGAATTTAAGATATTAACACAAAAATGGGCCTTCAAAAAATTTAGTGACCCAATCCTTGAATTAGTAAAATATGATATTTTCAACTTGAGATTTTGGATTGGGTTAGGGAAATTTTGAATTGCTAATGAGCTGTCACTAAAAGACATCATGTACTTCTTACTGAAAATAGAAGATTGTACAATATTGAGGTTTAGGATTTGAAAGGAACATTGCTTAGCGACTTAATGTTACTAAAAGACATCGTGTGCTTCTAGCAGAAAATAGAAGGTCGTACAATGAGGTTCGGGATTTGAAAGGTACATTGCTTAGTGACTTAGGTCCCGTTCATTTCGCTGATTCGAGTTTAGAATTCGAGTTTTTTTACAATAAAAAGCTCTCACAAATAATCACTTTTAACTTTTTTGCTACAGTAAAAAGCTCTCACATAAAGTCATATCTCAACTCGAATTAAAAACTCGAATCAGCGAACTAAACGGGCCCTTAATGGTTTAATTTTTTTGGTTGCATGTTAGCTGATTTATTTTTGTATATGCATCTAAGGTAATATTAGAACATACTGTTGAATAAGACCATTCATTTTAGGAGAAAGTAAAAAACACACCAAAATAGAATGAATTGAGGAAGATGGTGATTAGTTATTGTGCGTCCCTCCAAACAAGGAAGCTGCAAGCTTTTCAAATTCAACAAAATTTATGGTCCTACAGCAGTCCAGGTATTAACTTTCTGAGCTTTGCCTAATAAATAATTTTCAAGATTATGTTTTTGTTCTCCATTTTATTCTAACTGCTTTAAGTTTTTTTAGTACTATTAGGAATGAGACATATTGCTTATTATAATTGTGTACAGAGGAGGTTTTCTTAGACACTCAACTATTAATCCATTCAGTCCTTGATGGATATAATGTTTGTATATTTGCATATGGTCAAACAGGGTCAAGAAAGACATATACAATGGAATGCAATTTGCTATTAATATGTTCTCAGATTTTGTACCTACTTTTGTTAAAAATCTGTTTTATTGCGTCTCTTTTCCTACTCTAGAGTGGGCCTAACATATAATCAAAGGGGGATTGGGGGTGAACTATTGAGCATGAAATGATCTTTTTCAAATTTCTCAAGGCAGGAATAGCTCTATTGCTTATGAAGTTGGTGTTCAAATGATTGAGATATGTTAGGAATTGTGTCCTATAAGTATGAGATGTAATATGATTTTTCTTATTTATTTTAAAAAGAGTTTATTAATTATTTTATGTGCATATCTTATTGAATATTTTATGAATATTGTTGATGCCGAAATCTGGCACAACACCGCGTACAGAAGCGCACGGTAATCGAACTCTGTTCTCCACCTCTTCTGGTCGGATCCCTAGAACTGTTTTACTCGAGTCTTTATATTGTTCAGACGGATCCCTAGCGCGGTTCTGCTTAAGTCCTAACACTATTCAAGACGGGTCCCTAGCAAGGTTCTATTCAGGTCCTAGCATTATTTGGGACGGATCCCTAGCACTGTTCAAATCTACAACGAAAGAGGAGATGGCTAAGAGTGAGGGGGACTCCGGTGTGGTGTCTACCAATTGCACTTCGACGCTCAGGTCAGTGTTTGGTCTGGAGCAACAAATGAGTGAGCAGAGTTAGGTGTGGAAAAATATCCATACCTTTGTGAGGTAATGAGCTTGGTATTTATAGAGTATTTTCGGATTGGGTAGTGTCTGGATTTGACCTGGAACCCGGGGGTGACCCAAGTATGCAGTTGTACTAGTCATATGACACTTGTCACACCCCTATAGGTGGAGGGAGCCCCTATTGGGATTGCGGAAAGGAGTTCACATGGTAGTTAGTTGGCTGATTGGGAACTTGTCTTGTTCCACCGGTCAGTGTCGGTTAGTGCTCATACCACGTGCTTGGTCGGTTTGGATCAAATGCTCGGCCTGTTCGGACGAAGTGCTCGCCTTGGTCTACCTATTCGGACTGTTCTGCGTGGTCTGCCTGTTCGGCCTGTTCAGGCTGTTCTTCCTTATTCGAACCACATGCTCGGCCTGTTCGGGCTGTTCTTCCCTATTCTGCCTGTTCGACATGTTCGGACCAGATGCTCAGCCTGTTCGGACCAGGTGCTCGGCCTGTTCGGACTGTTCGGCTTATTCAGAGCAGGTGTTCGGCCTGTTCGGGTTGTTCTTCCCCGTTTGGCTTGTTCGAATCGGGTGCTAATGACCACCCCTCAACAAATATCACAATTTAAGTGACGCCATAAAATAACTATTTATTTAAAAAAAATAGTCGTTTTAATAAGAATTTTAACTTATACTTCATACTTACTTGCAATAATGTTAAAATACTATAGAATGACAAGGTAGCTTCTAAGGTTATATTATATGGGTAACAAGATAGTAGTCACCGATAGCATAATGTTTTTTTTTTTTTTTTAACATTGTACTTTCTTTTAGTTATTA